CTCCCCCCCCCCCCCCCCCCCTCGCGACCCTTGTGAGGATAAGCGGATCCGAAAATGGATGCAATAGATGGACATTCTATACAACAGCGTGCCCTCGGAACTCGAACACAATCCATTCACTTTTTTTTTTTGATTTCTCAAAGTAATGCATGCACACTGTAACCGGATAACATGATAAGCTGTCCACTGGAGTAACCGCTGTCCCTGAAAGGGTTATTGTTCCACATAAACAAATAATATAAATTGATTTCATTATATTACCGGTAGTTAAAATTTGACTATCATTATTCTTTTATTTAAAAAAATAAAATGAAAAAAACACACTACAGTACTAAACTAAAAAAAACTAAATAAAAACAAAACCTAATGGGAATAATTTATGATGAAAAATTATCAAAAAGAAAACAATAAAAGCTGCCACAAGTAGCTGGTTTGAATGTAATGCTAACAACAAAACGTTGCAACATGCTCCTTGGGATGTTCTTTTGAGATCGTTGTCAATCGCATCGCCTCTCTTTGGCTAATTCTCATTGATACACTTTGGACAAATCTGAGAAAAGTTTCTCACGTGGCCTCTTTGCAAAATTTATTGCCCAACTATTTTATTTGTATTCGGATATTAAATACTTCATATACATAAAAGGCCCAAAAGCACACTCCACACACATTAAAGAATAACAACTGAATCCCTCATAAGTGAGCACTTAGGCAGAGGAGCCAAGGAAAAATGTTGGTAGTTTGGTAACGTACAACAGCGTACATGTTTTGGGGTATTATGAGTAAGATTTACTATTCAAAATTAGTGACATCTTAAAGAACTCCAGTAAAGGCAGAGCTGCCATCTGTTTTACCTGGTGAGGAGGTTAAGAGGGAGCCAAGAGAGCAAAACTAGTCACATAAAGTAACCATCCCAAGCAATTCATTTTGTTGTGTCCTTCCTTAGGTTGCTGGATGTCAGCCATCGGAGGTATAGTGACAGGTCGGATCTCTTTAGGGCAAAGGTAAGCAGTCAAATTGTTGGCTCAACCATCCCTTGTCAATATGCCGTTTGGTTTTTAATCATTATGGAAGAAGCATTTCTAAGAAAAAAAATACCCCAAAATGACCTGAAGGAATATTTTAAGTACCGTACTTTCTGCACTATAAGGCTCTTCGGATTATAAAGCACACCTTCAATGAATGGCTTATTTCAATACGGTTTTCATATTTAGGGCACACTCCATTATAAGGCGCACAGAATAGAAGCTACAATAATGGCTGCGGTTGCACTATGCATCCACTAGATGGAGGTATGCTAAAGGGAATGCAATACAATACAATACAAAACACTTTTATTTATATAGAGCAAAGCCATGCGGAACTGGTCACAAAAATATATAAATACAAATGGCATTATGAAACAATAAATGAAATACAAAAGTTATGAAGACAATTTATTCCACAAAAAGGCACACAAACCTCATGGGCTCACATCCACAAGGGGCTAAATCTCCTTAGAGGTCTTGCTGGTCTCCTTCTTCCTTCGTTTCCTTAAAGTTAGGCCGGCCCACCGAGGGGCCCTCCGTCTTTTGGTATTATCTTCGTTTCATAATGGCTACGCATAGCTCACAAAGTAGTTGTCTGTTTGAGTGTGTTTTGGCAAATGCACATGTCAATTAATGTCGGGCAGAACCCTTTTATATTACAATTGGTTCCTGCTAATAATCACCACTAGATGGCATAGGAACACAAACAGGGAAACATCTCAATGGGGGAATATAAAGAGATTGTAACACCATACATAAAGCGCATCGGATTATAGGGCACATTGTCAGCTTTTGGGAAAATTGAATGCTTTTAGGCGCGCCTTATACAGGTAGTGCGGAAAATACTGTATTGGTATCACAATATAATGACTTCTGGGGTGATGTTTTATTGGACACTGTAAACATCAACCACAACTTCCAGCATGACTATATACTGGATGCCACCTGGGGACTGCATGAACAGACATGACAAGATCAACCATCTGGTTTTCTGTGGAAATTAAATCAGGCACTGAAGCCAGCAACTGGGGAAGGCGGTGGGGAGGAGGGGGGTGTTGGACAACAACATTCCATATAATTCATCTCTTGGTTGCTCTGCTTTTAGGTTGTGCAGGTGAGATTTTGTTGTGCATGTGCCTCTTTGTTGCCATGTCATTCTGATCTCCTAAAGGCGTTATTAACAGTCATGCTGTAACTTAAACTATGCGTATTAGCAATGGGTTCCTTCTTACATCCAATTTGATATCAGATTTGCCCTCGTGCATCAGCATTATCAGTCAACTTCAGGAAGCAAAACATGTTCATTGAGATCGGCACACATTAATATATCGATGATGTGAATGGCACACTTGCATGCTGTTACATATTGCATTTTTGAATTATATTCATGGTTTGTATAATGGTGACGTGATTGGTATTAAAAGATGAATTAAGACAGCCGGCTAAATCCCCACTGAAGGCCCAGGCACCAAATGCACCGCCCACCGCTGGAAATCCACTAGATAAACCTGTGAGCATTTTCTGGATTATTCACATACCACAAATAACAAACCACCGCGTACACCTCAGAATGACACTAGACAATATGTATATCCATCCATCCGTCCATCGGTTTTGCACACAGTTGGCCTGGAGCCAACCTCAGCTGACAATGTGTGAAAATTGTATTCAGACCAATGAACAATTAAGTCTTCAATGAACCTAAAATGCATGATTTTGGAATGGCGAGACAGTCAACGAACCGTATTGGTCCAAATATAAGACGGCCCTGATTATAAGACGACCCCCTCTTTTTCAAGACTCAAGTTTGAAAAAAGACTTTTTGAACACCAAATTAATTTTTATACAGAAAATAATTACAGTACATCTGAAACAAATGATTCTAACAATATATTTGAGAGAAAAAGCATGTTATTTTGCCTCATTCAAATCTAAAGTGCAATCACATTCGTAAATGAATAGCTTCTGGTTTTTGAAATGAAAATTACATCAAAACTTCTCCTCAGCTGCCGGTTAACCTGGCCGATCTGTGACCCACTTTTCTCCAGATTGTCACTACGTTTCTCCATTTTCTGTTTGCTCTTCTGTTATTTTCTTCTCTTTTCCTTCTTACCGCTATTTTTTATTTTTCTTCTTTGTGCTACCGCTATTTTTATTTTTATTCTTCATGGCAGGGGTTCACTTTGGCCTGGGGAGTCAAGTTCAGCATTCGCCTCAATGATATCTGGCGCCATCTAGCGTCGTGAATGGGTATAATGTCTAGACCCCGAATATAAGACGACCCCCACTTTTTCAATCTTATTTCAATGCAAAAACACCGTCTTATATTCGGGCCAATACGGTACATGGAGGGGAAAAAAAAAACCCAAACAGATGTTAGCATGAGAGCTCCACCCAAGAAGGCCAGCACTCCTGGTGATTTTGTGCTTAACCGTGTGTCTATTAATCGACAGTCTATGCTGTACTGTCGAATAGGTGTCCGTTGTTGAAATGCACTGAGCTGGTATTGTCAAAACATAATTTCCTCAGAACGCACGGGATTAAGCGTGTGTTGTGTGACTTTACACACATTGGCCGTGTGAATGTGTGTTTTTTGCCAGGTGGAATGTGTGGTGGAAACGAGGGACAAGACACAAAGCACTCAGCTGCGGAAGACGCTGAGTGAGCGCTACCCGTCTCTGTGCTGGCTGGAGCGGTGATCGGCAGAAAATTCTGAAAACCATTCGTCGTAACAATGTTAAATCCGGGGATGAAACGACACATCTATGAAAAATCTGGGAGGACAGAGAACTCAAATCACATCCTGACAATGGATGTTATTCATATCTGTGTGTGTACAGAAAAGCAACGCAATTATAGAGCAAATGATATTCATATAACATCTCCTGTATTATTTATTCCAAGCATTGGAGTAGTTAGTGAGGTTGGGTCAAGCTCGTGTAGTTTGCTCTCTATTAGGGAGCACGACTGATGCAGTGCTGGTATAAACTCCCCAACAGACACACATGGAAGCATTTCATGCCCAATATTGGTTACGCTCGCACAATCTACTGGAATTCTATGGAAGAGCCTTTTGAAAATCCTGTCTTTGCAAAGTCATTATAAAAGATGGAGTTTATGATGCAGCGCTTGGATTTTGTTAGATTGTGCAAATGGAACCAGTGAGTTTTTTGTCTGTGTATATATGTAGTATAGATAAAGTTTATCATGAATATGAGTTTAATATATATTAAGATGCCTCATTTTGGAATTCTTATTATTTTTGAACTGCTGTAAATATGTTTCAGTATTATTTATACTCCTGTCGTAGGTAGCATAGTCACTCCAAGCAGAAACATTCTCAAAAATATATAATAAAGGTATACTTGACCTGATCCTTTTGAATATGGAGTACTGTATAAATGTCTTCATGAGGTACTATATATCGACAACTCTAGATGAGAATGACTGATATTTTTAAAAAGTATTTCAGTTACAATATGAATACACTACAGGAGAAATGCTAATACTACAGAAATAGAAATAATAGCTTCTACTGACCACCTCCAAAGAGTTTCTAAGAGTGCATCTCTACTACATGTTGGCTAGTTACCAGTTATACCAGCAAATCATTTACCTCTCTCAGTCTACTGTACAGATTTGCTTCTCAGAACATTTAAATAAATGTTTTATTTTTCCACTGCACTGGTTTACAAGCTTTAGTAACATTATTTTTCTGCGGGGCTAAATATTATATGACACCTTGTATTCTGTTAGCCGGCGCAGAGATGCTTAGTTATGTGAAGTGCTATTATGAACTTTACGAAGACAATGTTTCAAGGTAAAAATCCCATTTGTGAAAACAAAATAAAAAGAAATAAATAAAAACAACAATAATGTTCAAATAATGTCTCTGTAAGTAGCAGCAAGCAAGCAAACCGAGATTGCCACTTCAGCTGTTCGGCTTGTGGTTCTTTGGCCACAAAATGAAGTTCTTTTGTGGTTATGTTATATTGCATTACTTGGATATTAGTTGAAGAAAGAAAAACATCTACGAGAAACACAATTCGACGTCGTTTGTGGTAACTTTTATTTCAATTGTTTGCATTAAGAACGCCAAGTGCAATGTTTCAAAGGAGAACACTGGAACGATGAGATGATTTCTCCTGGAATGTAAACATCAGGAATGTATGACAACTCATAAAATTGTACTGCATTTCCAGCTTGCTATTTCTCTCCCAAAATAGCTTTTAATGACCATCTCTTCAGGAAAAAGATTAAAATCTACACAATAAGTGTTATCACAGCAATGCAAGATTCAAGTTAAAAATACCTCAGTGATCTATTTCACAGAATACTTCAATATTTTAAAGTTAGAAAAAAAAAACCTTGAAGAAGAAAAGGCACTAGTGTCATGTTCCGAGGATACAAAATGTTCGCAGCTGAGTTTTTTTTTTTTTTTTTTTTTGAGGACACATCAGTGCTGTTTGCGCCGCTCTGGGTTGTATCTGATGAGCAGGCCCAGTGAGGCAAAGCCGAACACAAAGGTCTGGAAGAACCACAAGCAGCTGGTGGGCATGGTGATGCCTTTGTTGCTGAAAACACCAGATGACACATGCAACGTTTCCAATTTCAGCACGTTTCCACTTTACCCAACAGCATCACCTAGTGGACAAGCTCCTCTTTCTTACCTGCAGACTTTCAAGGAGACCAAGGCCTCAACCAAATGGATTGCGCAGGTCGCCCACCACCTGGAAAAGCACGTCAGATCTAATTCAGAATAACTGAATCTACCGTATTTCATTTATAAAAACGTTGTTTATAACGATACCGATATCTAAGCAACCTTGCAGAATGCGGCATGGAAGCAATTAAACAGCTACAGTTTATTTGGGGTCATTGCGATGCCGCTTCAATGGTGGCAGGTGGAAGCCGACTGGAATTGGACACGAGTGTGAACACACATCTGCACGTCTCCAAAAGTGGGTGTGCACACTTGTGCAACCATGTTGTTTCTTCTGACTTCTCTGATCTGAAAGATTTCATTTTACCACATGAGTTCAGTGTGTTCGAGGTGACAGTGGTACTTTTTAAATATTTTTTTTTCTTGGTCTCCCAACCAACGAAATAAATAAACAGCCCCCATATTTATCGTCACTATCCATTGACGCGGAGGCGCGGTGTGAAAAAATTGCCCATCGAGGAGTCATGTGGGGACATTTTGCCGGCCAAGAGCAAGTCACCTGCTGAAGCCAACCTGAAACCCCATTTCCCAGCAAACCTATTGTTGTGTTTATTGCCACACTCTGCCATCGTGTGACAACAAAGTGTGCTAGTGGGCGTGGGTTGCTAACGACCTGGGAAGCATCGCTGATTAAACAATGTACAAACATGTGAGATCACCTTTTGAAGACCAAAAGAAGCATCACACATTTCTAATACTGCCAAATGGCCTTATAAATGATTTGGCTGATGCATCGTCACCTGATGCTTGTTCTTTAGCTCATGGTGCACAATGTAAGCTAAGCTCTTACCCTTTGTACAAGACGCTAGCATGGTTGTCTACAAGATATCGGCAGAAGGTACCAAACGGGCCCAGGAGACGGTATGGTATGATTTCAGGCGCAAACACGATGCACTGCAACAGAAACAAGAGTTATTTGTTATTTAAAAAAAAAAAAAAAAAATCATCATCAAAATAAAATTTAAAAAAACAGGCGCTCAGCAGATTAGAAAGCCATGAAATCACGACGTGACTAATTAACTGCCACATACGTGAACAAGCTAGTCTGCTCAACAGAACAGAACTCATATTCTTTTTTTAACAAGTGGAAAAGCCACAAGAACATCTGACGGTCTTCCTGTCTTAACCCATCTCATGGTGAAGGCAAAGCAACACTGGTCGCGTTTGTTTGGTTTTTGCCACGCTGGAAGCAGGTTGAATGCAGATGTGGAGCGTGACTGCATCGACTGAATGTAGAGCAAAGTTCAAACCTTGTTTTTTTTGACCGGACACTGAAATTTTACATTTGATGCACCTCGGGAGGCCAAAGCAGCTCATTCAGGCCATTTTGGACATGCACGTTTTTGTAGAAAAATTGGTTCAGATCTATCTATATATATATATATCTATATATATATATATAGATATATATATGTAGATGTCTTATTGAAAATCATTGATGAGCAATTTAACAATGGGGGGGTTGTGGTTTGCAGTTGTGAGAAATAAAGTACAAATACTTCTCGACTATACTTAAGTAGATTTTTCAAGTACGCGAACTACACTTGTGTTTTTCTGATGATTTTCATTTTCCTCCCTGCTTCTTCGAACGGATGTTTACTTTCTACTCCTTGATCAAAACAGACTTCTTACTTTTTTTTTTCTCTCGAACTTCCATGAATGACGACACGGCATAAATAGGGAGAGGTTAAGACTTGATTGATTTAAGATCATGAGGTCTTATGAGGCGGCAAAACAGGGACCACAGCAAAATGGTGCAACATGAGCTGGTGAGTTTTTACCGCAATGGCAACAGATTTGGAGAAGAAAGATTTTCTCCATTCATTGCCTCATTTAATATAATTGTTGGTGTTGGCGATTAAATTATTTGTGCTGAAGGTGTTGTCTTGTGCCCTAAAACTCACCAGCTTCTGTTGCTCAATTATTATTCATCTAATTGCACACCAAAAAAAAAAAAAACAGACAGGTAAGGTGTATTTTTACAGTTAGTAGCTAATTTTGCAATATTTTGTTCTTTACAACACGAAGCTATGGGAACACAATTTGATGCCATCAATGCATTAGCTTTTTTCTTTTTAAACTATATTACCGGGAGTTAACAGCTTCTTTTTATGATAAATGGATTTGTGTCTTGAAACAGATTTTTCATTTGATTAGATTTTTGAGATACATTCTCTTTTTGTTGTTGTTTTTAAGATTGACCTATAAAAGCTTGCGCCACACATATTTTGCCATGAGCTGGAATTTAGAACATTCCAAAATAACTGATTCCATCTGTTGCTGAACCGGACCTACCTACAGTAATACTACTAAATCCAAGGCATCTCAAAAAAATTGGGAAACATTTCAAGATAATTGCTTTTAAAATGATGTCCAATTGATTAAAACCTGATTTATTTGAGAAAACTGTGGGCAAATTTGGAATTAGCACAAAACAAGTATGAAGAAAAGTTTACTTGCATCTGTGATAAACAGATTTAGTGAAAATAAATGGTTGACCTGTGTTATCAATATGAGCACTATGAAATAAAAAGAGGACTATTATCTGTGGGCAGTATTTTTTGGATGCAATTATGAAAACAGCTAACACACACACACACACACACACACACACACACACACACAGTATACTATATTTTTAACTTTTGCAACGTACGCACACTTCCAAGCCAGTTGCCTCTACTTGGACTTCAGTTCCAGACTTTGTCAGTACTTTCACGTTTAGCCCACCAATCTTTTGATGCATCTGCACTTCTACTCAAGTACGACTTTTTCCAAAAGTGTCTAAGTATATGGGGTATTTATAAACATCTACAATTCAAAATTGAGCTGGTGGACCTCATGTTACGTTCAACATGTATCAAATGTGCCACGTGTGCTGCTGCATTCAAAATACAAAAGGTCCATTGGAAGTTTGGGCCCCTGTACACCTAACTGTTGGCCACATCTCGTCTAAATTCCAACACTCAACTAAAAATCAACTTTTTTTCTAGCTAATAATTATGAATGAATTAATGACAGTGAGTTGTTAGAGTATTTAAATCACATATGAACTAATTTTACCGTCAGTAGATTCAATGCAACCACATACTTAAACGTGAAAAAGCGCAACAAAGAGACACAATGTGTACCAGGTGGTATTAAAAGACATCTGAGCATTCCTGTCATATTTTAAACGAGCCAACACTGAAAGTATATAAAGTTTTGAAGGAAGTTTATGCGTAAACGAAAGGCTTCTGGCTGACTTGTAAGCCGCAGGAAACCGAGACGTGTTCACTTGCAGTTTGAACCTTGCGCAAAACTCGATATCGTTTTTCTTTCGGACGCCACAGTGAACTCGATAAGATAAAACACACTAACGATCACCAAACAATGACAATGGCCTCGGTAGCCACTCTTATGAATCTGTCACAAAATAAGAAACGGTAAATGAGCACCAGAGAAATATGTATAAATCACAAAAAACCCTACATTCGTGTTATTCGCTTTAAATGTGAGTTGTGGCATCATGGGTACATTTAACGCACACAAGCAAGTCAACGTGAAGTTTGCAAAGACAGCAAACATCACATTTACTTCAAATTAGAGTCTATTTAATTAGTCTTACTTACAGCAAAATACCCCACGCCGAAAATAATGGAGACAATCCAAAAGAGGCTGGTTCTTTTAAAATAATCACTTCCATCACTTTTAGCCATTGCTGCTGCTGCTGTTGCTGTTGCTGTTGCAACCGTCAAATATGTTCGTGTAACACCGTCGGTCGGCACTGCAACGGGCAGCCTGGATGCATTGTATTTTCATATTAGGGACGCACTTATAATTTACGAAGCATACACGTACGGTGAACGGTGAATACGATTTGAACTGTAACATTGATCAAGGCAACTGTTTATCGAAACATTGTTTTTATTAATTACAATGTTTATTTAAACGTGTGTTGTTTTCAATGTATTTACAGTATTTTTGTCGAGCAGGAAGTGGTTTAAAACACACCCGTTGAAATAGCGCCCCTTGGTGGTTGTGAAAATATCGCCTGCACTGATACAAAGGGTCCTTGTATGTCTTAAACCGTTACGGTGACATATGACGTTGAGTGATTATGAACATTACAAACTATACTTTATTAATTGCTTACTTTAAAAACGATTTTGAGATGTGATTTGCTACAAACCACGCCATGCCAAAGCTGTGTCGCACATTTACATTCCCAAAAGCAAATGCGGCAATGTAAAGAAATCCCCATACGAAAACAAACTATTTCTTGCAATCCGGTCCATTAATGTTTTTATGTATCATGTAGCAACACTGGCTGTTTAATTTTGCTCTACCCGCTGTTATCCCGATGATTGATGCAAGGGTGGAACAGGATGTTAAGATAAGGCTGTCCGATATCTCAACACACTGTTGATTTGCGGCTTTACATCAAAGTTACTTTTCACAAATAGGGGTTTCTTATATATAAAACCCAAATTCTGTTATGTTTATGGATAAAAACCTATGGCTGAGTTAGTAATGGTGATATTTCTTGTTACATTGATGCAAATGTGACCAATAAAATGGAATGGAAAATAGAACTTTGCAAAAAGTATGGGAATGTTGAAATGTATTTTATACAACCCCCGAAATGTTTGAAGGAGTCATATGCATCGCATTTGTTAAATGCTCAGACGGTGTAACCAGCGTCACGTTATATTGAATCACTTGATCACTGTATGTAAACTTGGCCGTAGCACTTATTTATTCTCTGATAAGACTCTTTCCCATGCTTATTTAAAGACAATCATGAAAAATCTGAAAATCATGACCATAGCTGTCATCTAGAATAATGGTTTTAGAAAATGAAAATCAAATAAAAACAAAAAAAATGATTAATAAAAGCCCCTCCTTTTTTCAATAAAAAAAATAAACAACTGGTCAACAGAAAATTTTAATCTAAAATGGCTTTCCGCACCCCTCAAAGTATTCGTGATGTCGATTAACAAAAAACATTCTTTACTTTTTGTCGAGCACATCTTTTTTTTTAATTTATTTTCATTTTTTTTTACATTTGACCTAATAAAAACGAATTTTACCATGTGTTGTAATTTATAACTATGAAATTCCAGGAAAAAAAATCCACCTGAGCCCAACCCTTCATTTATAAATATTATGATGTATATTATTATATTTAATGTTATATTTTGTATTATTATTATCATTACTATAATAATAATAATAATGATCATAATAATACATTTTATTTATAAGCGCCTTTCAAGACACCCAAGGACACTACTATGGAACCATGGTGTGCTAGATTAAAACAAAATTAGGGTAGATTTGGAATCAGCACAAAAAAAAAAAATCATCAAGAATAGTTTACTTTCATCTCTCATTTTAAAAAATGTCAAAATGTTTTGAGCGGTGTAATTTTATTCCAGGTGTTCAATTGGGGACCTTGGCCATTTTAGCAGAGGTGGCCGCCCCACAAAAACATTTTTGTCAAAAAAAAAAAAATCCTCAGGCCATTATTTCAGGAAGGTGATAATATCCTCATATTATGTTATGAAATCACAGTGAGTTTTGAAGTGTTTTGCGGAGACTCTAATCTGAGCAAAATGTGGCTCTGATCTCTGATAGGATTTGGCTGGACTCTGTAGTGAGTTAGTGGGACTTCGAGGAGCCATCTCCCCTTGGAGACATTGATTCCAGTGGTTACTCAGATAAAGATTCAAGATTGTTTTCGTTTGTTTAGGTACCGTGGGTCACCTTCACACTGCACTGTTTTCTAATACATGTCCAAATACAACTTTGACCTTTAGCATTGTGTGGCTTTTCACATGCTTCTGGCTACACAATGTTGACAACATACACATGAAACATGAAATCTGAAACATGACAATAATCACTTTCTGGAAGCTTAGCGCATTCAGGTAAGTTAGCGACAATGCGGGTTAAAGGTCAATGAATTTGCACACAACCTGGCCAAAGCCTGGACATGTTAAACCGCTTGACAAGCTTGCCGCCCAATTGGATGAGGCTCTTCGCTGTAATGAGGCTGCACGGAGGGCCAGGTAAGCATCCAGTTAATCAATGAACAATGAGCCACCTTTGTCTTTACTCTTGTGATAGCAGCCTCCTGATTTGCATATGAAAAGAAAAGAGTAGCCATTGATGGGCTTCAGATCACAATGTGATTTTATGTTTTTCCCCCCGAAACTATCGTTGCTGATTAACGTGCAGCGGGTTGCAAATCTTCCGACATGTGTTTGTGTTTAAAATGTGTCACATGACTGTCAGGAGCCATATTGGGAATTAGGGGACGGCTTTTTGATACAGGCAAGCATGTATATACTCGCTATTTCATGTTTGCAAAACTAAGAAGGAACTGTTGCCAAATGCTTGATGTGGTATTGACATGCCGAGCATGGATGACAACCCCTGAAGCCTAATCATGTATGATCGAATAAACTTGAGTGATAAATGTTTACCAGCGCTACTCCTGAAAATGATCGCAATCGTAACCACAATACAACTCAAAACAGTAGTGCGAAATAATATAGCTTTGAGTAAACCAATAATATGTGAATGAATGAATAAAGGAATGAATGAATGTGGCAAACTAGAAACAGTACAAAGTAACAAAGGTCAAAATGGAAATGTGAACAGTTTTTTTAATTGTTTTGAATTTTTTTTAACTTAAAAAAATAGTTTTATTGTGAATAAAAAATGTTTTATTTTGCGTTGTTCGGCCATCTGAAAACCGTTCACGCAATTTTCTTTGATAACCTGTACATTACCTTAACTCTACTTAACCTGTACTGTCCTTTAACTTATACCCAAATACTGTTTGCCCAACATTAAGAATGTGAGCAGAAAGGTTTACAGAAGAGAAACAAAACACTTATCAGCTATTAGTAATAATTCCACAAATTAGGTAGCATTTTGAGTGAAATGCAGAAGTGCTTTGCAGTAGTTCTATTGCAACCTTATTTTCTGATATGTGCAGGGCATCCAAAACACAGTCATGGCAAAAAAGCCAACAGCTGCAATGAGTACTTGATGTTAAGTGGTATCGATGAGTCTATCCGTCAAAGTTCTTTCATGTCACGTTTGCTATTGACCTTGAAAACACTTTGATAAAGATGGAGTGATAACGAGGGACGTTTTTTTTGGGGGGGAGAGGGGCATGGGGGCACACTTCTTCTGCTGACCAACTCTCCCCAAAGAATAAACCCCACCCCAACATTGTGTCGCTGCTTTACCAAGTCCTCAGCTGATCAATATATAAGGTATCCTGACATAAGCAGTGGACACACAGTGAAGGAACACGCAACCACACTGACCTCTGTCACATCAGACGTCGGTTAGAAATCCATTTGTGTTCAGACCGTCATCCATTTAAGTGCTGCCATGTGGAAGGACTCCAGCAATGGTAAGAGCAAATACAGTACATTGTGCTTATTTTTTTGTGGGGTGGGGGGACATTTGTCTTTTCTTGCATCCCAAAGCACAGAAAAACATTAGTTTATGTGCACATGGTATGGATCTCAAGTCTTGACCAACGAGTTTAGTATTACGGCAGTGCTGAAGAGGATATTCAATAAGGATGGGGGACAAGTTGACAATATATTGAATTGTTAGATTTTTATATGTGGGTGTCTAAAAACCCTTTGCAACCTTCAAAGGGTTTTCTTGTGCATTATAAAACTGCAAGCATTCAGTTCTTTCCGCTGACATTTCAATGATTTGCCATGTTTTACAGTCGATCTGTTTTTTTCATGGCTTCACGGTGCACATTAAAAAAAAATAAAGTTCTAACTTTGCAGTGGTCCATAAATATTGGACAAATGAAGTTCTCTGATGCCATTTCCTCTTCCCTTCTACTCAGATGATGCCAGACCCACGGCCTCCAGCAGCGCCTCGTCTCGCAGCGCCAGCCGCAGGAAGAGGACCAGTTTCTCCAAAGAGCACGTGGAGCTCCTGCGGGTCACTTTCGAGACCGACCCATACCCCGGCATCAGCCTCAGAGAGAGCTTGTCTCAGACGACAGGCCTTCCAGAGTCCCGCATCCAGGTAGGGCACAAGCTTTCATTGTGTTTGGCATTAAAGATTTTTGTGCAGAATTTACCAAGCAGTGGAGTCGATGCAGTTAAAACCCGGTCTTTGGGTTTTCAAGTTAGCTTAAGTTAGAAATGCGATTCCTCGCCTGGCACCATTGCCATTACACGCTTGCCTAAATGATGAGAAATAAAGTAGCGTATTACAGTATTACTGTGACAACCAGCGACCCCATAAAAACTGGTCAGATGATGTAGAGCAACCACACATGTTGTAATGTATACTCTTATTATCGGAAGGTCTGTTTCCAAAAGGCATTGAATTGATACCGCTATCACTTCATTTCTTTCAAGAAAAGATGACACAAGCACTTTTTTTATCAGGATTTTGTTTGAGGTTCCACACGGCGCAGCGACTCGGACAGCTGAGAGTCCCTTGATGTGAACCCTGCCCGTTTCCAGAAAATGATTAACAGAGCGAGAATGACTTTGTTGATCTGTTGCTTTTTCAGATGTAAACTTTGTTTTTTTCTGTGCCTCTCTGCCCAGGTGTGGTTTCAGAACAGGAGAGCTCGAACGCTGAAGTGCAAAGGGGTCAAGAAAGGCCTGTGGCAGACTGACAGTCCAATTCAAAATGCTCAAGCTCCACATCAGAGTGGGCAAGTCTCTCTGGGGCGAGAGGGCCCCCCGCCGTGCTACTCCACACGGGTGAAAGAAGAGATGGAGGAGTCCTGTTTTTATGGACAGTGTCCTCCAATGTACCCCACTATTGAGGAGCATCAACACTATGGCTCTATGTACGGTCTTCATCAGAGCACACCGCTGGGCAGCGGCTCGAGCCCGCACCTGAGAGGCTACTGGTCCCAGTCAAGCGCCCTGACGGACGCCATGACCCCGTTGTGGTCTCCTGCGGAGGGCCGCAGCTGCAGCTCAAGCACCCTCACCTTCATGCGCCCAGAGCAACAGAACTACACGGCCCGCGCCGGCTCTCACTCCACCAACCCCGACACACCCGACTCGGGATACTGGGATGCCAGCCTCGATAAAAGCCCCCCGGCAGAGAGTCACTACTCACAGCTGGATGGTTCGTGGAGTGTTCTGGAAGGTTGCAGGGGGTCTGGATTTCCATCAGTGGTGCAGCATGCCCCCTTGCCTGAGTTGTCCCTACAGGAGATCCTGGGAGAGCTGGATGAGGACTGGCTGGGCGGGGAAGGATTGGACAGCCACGGTAATCATGAGAAAATGGCTCTGTGCTGAGGACTCTCTCAGCGGACATTTGAAAAGAATCAGAAATCATATATAGTCGTTGGTTTTCTTCTGTTTTGTGTTGCTTCTGAGGTGTGTGCATGGTAAAAAAACAAAAAAACAAAGTGTTACCAATGGGATCAGTATTACCCAAAGCCTTTTTCACGTTGCATGTTATCACTGTTGTATTTATTGATTGAGCCTCTATTTATTACCCGTATTTATGTTTTTCTGCACTTTTATATAAATAAATCATTTTAAATAAATAGCAACACGTTTTTTTTTTGTATGAATGTATTTATTGATATACTGTACAATCCATCCATTTTCCAATCCGCTTTATCCTTAGAAGGGTTGCGGGGGGGGTGCTGGAGCCTATCCCAGCCGTCTTCGGGCAGTAGGCGGTTGCCAGCCAATCGCAGGGCACACACAGACGACCAACCATCCTTGCTGACACTCACACCAAGGGACAATTTAGAGTGTTCCATTAACCTGCCATGCATGTTTTTGGAATGTGGGAGGAAACCGGACTACCCGGAGAAAACCCACGAAGGCACGGGGAGAACATCCAAACACCACACAGGAAAGCCGGAGCCGGAATCGAACCCTGCATCTCAGCACTGTGAGGCGGACGCGCTAACCTGTCGCCCACCGTGCCACCTGTACAATAGATTTGCTCAGGTTAATGCTGACCCAAGGAGAATAAATAACATCATATACCGGGTAGTCTATTTTCATACCACAATGAAAGTTTACAAATAACCACTAGATGGTGCCTGTGAATAAGACACAATGCTGTTGTCGTCCTTCTGTGGGCCTATGCTGTTTCGTCCTCCCGAAGCCCCCCCCGCCCCCCCACACCCCCCACCCCACCCCCTTCAAACGATGACGATGAAGTGTTGGCAGGTTTACTTTAAAAGTACCGTATTCCGAGACAATTACTAGTTACCTGTTAAAAAATTTAGTTAGTGACGTCATCCAAGTCCCATAATAAGTAATGTAAGTTGAATACAGTACTTGCACTTACTTTTAGATGACTCCAACACCAAATATGTTGAAAACATTCAAACAGACGAAACTATCTGCATTACAGTATAAATATTTGTACAAATTTGTCCAGTCTTTTCTGTCTTATAGATAGATAGATAGATAGATAGATAGATAGATAGATAGATAGATAGATAGATAGATAGATAGATAGTGTTTGTTAACTTGTGACGAGTTATTCACTTAACTCCAGGAAAGCTTGTTTTGCCAACAAGTTTCAAAAGGCGAGGTGGATACTTTTATCCATTTTTTTTCTCTGCGTGGCAAAAAGCCTTTTTCTTCACGATATGGATATCTGAAAATAGCATAGTTATTAGATCATTACAGAGCACTGGCAGATGTAAGCATTAGTTTACATTAGCTGATTAGATTAGCGCAAGACAGCATTTTTCGGACCTTGCTTCAGCCGCAGTGCGTATGTTTCGAGGTGGAGGTAATTTTGTAACTGAATGGAAAGTGCAACTCGCAGCTCTCAGTACAGTACTCCATGCTATTTCTTTCTTTGCCTGCAGGCCAGTCCGTGCAGGGTTGTTTGGTTGACACATTCCATATTTTTTTCAAACCTTTAAAGGAAGATGCCCAGTGTCTTAGGATGTGAAGCTTTAGACTTGAAAGTATTTCCAGCCAAAATTGGAATGTGCTGTGCTCAATGTTGGCCTCCTGCCTTCATCCACAAGATGATGGGAAGGGAGTTGTCCTTTTGTTCACCTCTGGTGGTGGTTCCTTGAGCGAGAAAAGGCCTCACAATGGGAGCATGACTCCTCAATGTGCTCCTCACTAAAGATAGCTCAACACAGGAAATAGTGCAGACTGTCTGATGGATGCTGGACAGGTGTTCTCCTTCTCCAGTGGTCAACAACCAGCTGTCCTGAGTAGTTTTAGTCCATTATTTTTCATCGACTATGAAAAGTACACTTGTATGACAATTAAAATGTGTTTATGTTTTTTTTTTGAATGTTTTAACATCTAGACTAAGTGCCCAAGAATGGGCTGTGTTTGACTTTTGGCACGATGCATAATTCTCCACCTCTCTTCCTTCAAATTTGAGAGACTGTCCACCTTATATCACTAAAGCCTGACCGCTATTGATTTGAATTGACAACTGACAGAAGATGGCAGAGACAGCTGAAGTCAAAGTTCCAAGTGTAAAATGCTCCCATCCCTACCAGCCAGTTTGCAAGTACTCCTCCAGTTGACCACATTTTCAGATCTGTGTCATCAAAGCAAGAATTTCCTGCTAGGAGTGAGCTACTATCACTTCAGTGAAGCACTGAGAGTGAAATACACCAATCGATCAATCAAGCTGCTATTCGTTCCATGGGGAACAACACAAAAGTGTGAAAAATTATGAATTTTATTTCAGTTAGAATTGAACACCGCTATCCTGTGTCCGCTTAAAGTGTTTCGAAAATAGCAGCATGGTGATTGTTATAAAGCAAATTGAAATTCAAAGGCATACACAAAACCCTTTCAAGATGTTTGTCTCCAGCATGCGTGGAATGGACTGTTTACAATATTGTGAAAATGAATGTGTACATAGTTAAAGTCAATGGTCTTCCGTGGAGTAATTAATGAAATCGACAATTTCTGGAATTAACTTTTTTTTAACTACTGCATAGACACAACACACACAAGGACATGATAATAATAATAATAATAAAAAAAAAAAAGTAAATCACATTTACATAACCCTTTTTCAAAACACTGAACAATACTTTACACACCAAACAGATAAGAGTAGTAGATAAGAATAATAGAGTTGCAGAGAGCATGCAGGAAATGGGGGTGGGCGTATCACATAACTCTGGTATTCTAGAACAAACCACTGTTACTTTCAGTGTTCAACATTCTTCAAACACACACAAACACAGATTCACACACATAAACACGATTATTTGGTCTTTGTCAAGCATTTCAATTCAAATTTCTGAACTTGTCACGGCATCGATGGACGATCATGGCACATACTCACGTACAGTCAGGATGTATTAACACCATGTATTAACCAGTTCTAAGGTAATCACAATTCTTGTTTGCATCAAACTACAATGCACACCATACACACATATATTTTATTGAAGGGCAACTAAGGTCACCGAGACATATGAGTGATGGTCCTCAGCTGTTTGCAGTACCAGGCGATGAAGGTTAGGATCACTAAAAATAAAGCCTGTAATTTCACCAAACCCTCCCAGGGAGTTGACACTGGCCGCGCGCTCTAATTTAGGAGCTCATCTGGGCTCTTTGTGATTGCACTGCTCCACTCTCGCTTATCTACTGCCTGTGTCCAGACGGTGATTAATGTTGCTCACAGACAGGGAGGAAGTGCATGTCAACGTGCATGTCCCCACATATGTTATTTATAGGCTAAAGCATGGACTCTACAGCAATACCTGAAACTGAATAGGGAGTAGTGAGCGGAAATACTCTTGTTTGCCTTTCTTCAAATAGAACACTAAACCCCTTGCAGAGCAGACAGCTCATATAAACGGATGTCATGCGTCACTGTCCAAGAGCTTTATTTTGTTTGATCGCCTATATTCTAATGTGGATAAAATCGACACAACGAATAATGTCATGCCATTGTACACCTAAAAGTATGCCTCTATCACACGCATGCTTTGACTGTCATCTGTAAATGTTTCCAATTTGCGGGGTAATAAAAGTCCCAAAAAGCCGCAGCCTCATCCAAAACTCGTTGATATTTAAATGTCATTCATGTGAGAAATGAGAAGGCCATACGTTGTACGAAGCACCTGCGCTGCATCAATAGTCAACATTGGAGCTGTCAACTCGTGACAGTAGTAGCATAAAGAAAATATCAGTGAAAAATCAATTGGAACACAATGTATGCACAAGTGACTTATAGAACTGCCTAAATGTTAGTGTTGTGGTGTAGTGTCAAAAAAAACATTTACTGTGGAATTTTTAGGGTAAAAAAACCTCTGTTTTGTTCTGATTTTGAAAGTTTTCTTTCCTCAAAGGAAAAAATCTTCACAAGGGCCGTGGGGCGTGGTAGTGCCTATCCCAGCTGTCTTTGGGCAGTAGACGTGGTACACCCTGAACTGGTTGCCAGCCACTCGCAGGGCACACGTAGACGAACACCCATCCGCGCTCACAATCACACCTTGGGACAATTTAGAGATTTCCATTAACCTGCCATGCATGTTTTTGGAATTTGGGAGGAAACCGGAGTACCCGCAGAAAACCTACGCAGGCACGGGTAGAATATGCAAACTCCATAACAGGAAAGCCTTAGAGCAGCGTCAGTGTACACCAGCTTGGTAACACCTGTGCAAAAATATATGTACTTTACAATATTTTAACTTATTGGTAAATTGGGCCACTTTTAGAAGTCATCAAAAAAGAAAAAAGAAACGTTCAGCGGCTGTACTAGCAAATGAAAACCACTTCTTAGCAAGATGACTGGATGGAATTTGTATCACTGATGAGACAAAGATTCACCTTCACCAAAATGATGGAAAAGCCAGAGCTTAAAAAAAAGGACTTGCTCATGATCCTAAACATAAAAGCTCATCTGGGGAAGTAATTCACAGAATAAAATAATTGGCCTCCCTGTTCCAGTGCTTTTATAGGTGAGTGTACTCTACATCAGTGGTACCCAACCACTGGGCTGCGGACCATCTTACGGGACATTTTGGTACCAGGCCACACAGGAAAATAAATATCGCACTTTAGAGTCCGACAGAAGTTTTACATGTACAGTGTATTTTAAAAATCAGTTGCATTCACCTGCACCTCCGCCAGCATGTCGGTCACCAGACATGGTTGAAAGAAAATAAGCCAACAAACTAGCAAAAATGAATAAAAACGCTCTGGAGAGCTTCTTCGGAAAGTGGAAACGTCAACAAGTGATCCAAATGATTCTATGCCCGCTCTGCATAATATGAAACCTTCAAAGCTGTCAAAAAACAACAATATCAACAAGATAAAAACACTTGATACCTTGCTTCTATTTCCAACCTCCTATATTTGTCAAGCAACTTTGTCTTGAATGACAGTGACCAAAACAAAATGATGCAGTAGACTGGACAGACCTGTAAGTAACACACTTAAGGTGTCCATAGTCTCCCATTAGCCCAAGATGAGACCGGCTCATCAAGAAGAATTACAATCTCTAAATTCCCCAGAACAGTGCGCTGTATTCTTCATCATTTGTTTTAATCTATTTCACTAGGATGGGGTCCGCTGCTGTATATTGTGTGTGTCTTGCGGTGTCCACTCAGTGACAATGGTGGTAAATTCAGTTGCTTTTCTAGAATGTTAACGGTATTAGTGTTACAATTGCACATCCTTCTTATTCATAAAACACTATTGATTGCATTAGCCAAAGGGAATAATACATTTGCGGTCATAAAGCAGTAATGGATTTATTGGTCCATCTATCCTCATAAATCCCAGAACACTGACTTGAAGTGGCCGTGGCTTGATGTGTCAAACCCAGCACAGAGAGAACTGTGTCTCCAATGAAGCACCTTCAGCTGGAGTACATGTATGAGGTAATTGTTCATGTTTGGTCACATGACCTCCTGCAGCAGCTGTCAAATACAATGATAGCAGGAGAATCCTTGTCCCCGCCCCCTGCAGCTGATAGGATTGCTAGCAGCAGTCTAGGGACTGTTAACCAGGATGCCATCCCATACATGCACACATTCAAACTGATAGTTGGAACAAGCATATATAGTACATGTATTGATCATTCACCCATCCAACCACATGCCTCGATTTACTGGTGATCTGAATTTCAATTTAATATGGACAGTCGGTGGGGTACACAACTTGAAATCACTAATATCCTATTCAGAAAAAGTTCAGGGTGCACTGATGGTTTGAAAAATGCAGATTCCTACAAGCTTACCGGCCTGCGTTCCACAAGTATTGTTTTTTGAGCTCACATACTCTTTTTTTTTTAACTTTTTGAAGACTTTCCAAAAAAAAAACATTCTGCAGTGTTTCTATGTCGACTGAGAAAACTGACCTCTTTGAATTGTGCTGCATTATTTCATTTATTTAAGAATAAAACATTTATCTTTTTTCTTCTTCTTTTTAATAAGATGAATAAAAACAAAACTGCACATGTGGACAGTGGTCTTAGGCTAAATATGTATCTCTGGAAATGCACATCTACACATCCATTTTCTGTACGACATGTCCCATTCAGGGTTGCCTATCCCAGAGGACATCAGGCCAAATGCAGGCCACACTCCTAGTGTTTGCTTACAAGTGGACCCCACTATTCATGGATTATAAGGACTGGGCCAGCCATCAATTAGCGAAAATCTGTGTATCATTGATGTCCACTGAAATGCGTTGGGATTTCTTTCTTTCTTTCTTTCTTTCTTTCTTTCTTTTTAACCCCCACCAAATTCCTGAAAAAAACCCCACTGATAAACCTTCAGTATGCATTCTCCACAAAGAATAAATAAATAAATAAATAAATAAATAAATAAATAAACACTTGAACCCGTCCCAAAAAACAAGAAAAGAAAGAAAAATATTTTTAAAATATTGGGGAAAAAAAATGCAAAATATGTGAATGCGCGGGAGCCAAACCATGAGTATGTGGGCTCCACTGCATGACAAATTGCTCCCATTTTGGTTCTGATTATGGAGATATTCTAGCAGGAAACAAGGCCATGGCTCACCACAAAATCCTGAAAGATCTTCAGCAATTTTGCCTGATTGCGTTGAACAGAATCTTTGAATTAGCACTTTTTTTCCCCCCAAATTAAATAAAGTTGATATTAAAGTATACAGAACTGCGTTTCATATATTTATTCACTGATGGATTTGTTTTCGTGTGTTTAATAAACGCTTAAAGTGGCCCAAACTGTTTTCTTGAGGGCGGTTCTCGGAGAAAAAAGTAAACAGAAATACTATATAGCTGTGAAATACAGCAACATGGTCCGGTAGCCCGTTATCAATTTTGCATTTTTTATCTGAGCCTAAACTCGGAATGTTATAAATGTTGTTTCCGCCAACCGCTGGCCGCCTTCCATTTCTGTGCAGAATCATCTTAACCCTGGAGAAACCAAGAACCCTTTTCTTCTTTGGAAAATGATGCATTTTACATTAAATGACTGCTATATGTTCACTGAACACCAAAATATACGTTTTTTCAAATATTTAATGCTTTAATCCTAATTTAGGATTAGGGCCAAATTTGACCCTTTGGGATTTAAGGGTAGCATTTGAGTAGCAGAATTTATAGGGGCCAAATTTGACCCCGTGGGTTCTCCAGGGTTAAATACTGCAATTACTTTTTTGTTTGTCGATTGCCAATTGAAAATGGAAAGAACAATTGATACACGGATCAGTAAACCGGCATAATGAATTAATACAATAAAAATCGCTTAGATGTTTAAAAAAATCAAATCGGCACGTGTGTACAGTACTTTACGCGATGTACTTTCTATACAGTGCCTTGGTTCCAAATGTAAGCTCCGCCTCCCCACCAAGCGCACTCACACACCTTGTTCTGGCCGCAGCTGCTCCACAGAGCGTCCGGCAAAGCAAGTCACGCCGGGAAGCGCACACTACTGATCGGCTGGAGATGTGATCCAACACGCTGGAAAAAGCTCCGATGAAAAGGTCACATGTTGGATTAGAAAGCCTTCACTTAAACCTCATAGTGTGGCCACACCGAAGATAGTGACAGAAAAGTGCTTTTCGCCACATGTGGGAGCAGTGTAACCGGTGGTGGTGAGGTAAGGGAGGAGGAACATGCAGTTGTGTAGCCTCTCGGTACGCCTCGCAGCCAGGCACCGAGGCTGGTGATGCCCGCCGCCGTGCGGGGATCACAGGCGGTCGGTAGCAGCAGCAACAGCGGGAAGAGAAAGCGCAAGAGGGCGGCAAACCAGGGCGGTCGAGGACAATGATGATGATGGTGATGATGATGAGTTTAAGATCGAGATCATGGCAAACGGAACCGGTACTATAATGTTAAAATGTGTCGTGGTCGGAGACGGTGCAGTGGGCAAAACGTGTCTTCTAATGAGCTATGCCAATGACGCCTTTCCCGAGGAGTATGTCCCAACGGTGTTTGATCATTATGCAGGTAGGCACAGAAATCTCATATTGTTTCTAATAATGACATGTTTGCGTGTTGCTGTTTTTTTATTTTACCATACTTGTATAGAGAATAGTGCACTCACTGTTTCCTGCTGCACTCAAACTGCATCGGCCTGCATCTGTTGCTATAATCAAAACCACTTGTTTGCCTTCATTGCAGACAGAGGTTGGGGACCTACAGCCCCCCCCCCCCACACTCTCCCCTCCGTTTTATGCACTCACCCATACCTTGTCACCCACAAGGCTTCCTCTTTCTAACTGCTCTTTTGTTATTTCCTCACAGTGAGTGTTAATGTTGGAGGAAAGCAGTACTTGTTGGGACTGTACGACACTGCCGGTCAGGTACGTACGTTTTTTTTATTTTTGTTTTTTTGTTACTGTGGTCTGATGCCAAGCATGTCAAAGAAAAGCACACACGCCCCCGCCCCCTGCTCGCGAACACACACACACACACACACACACACACACACGCACACGCACACGCACACGCACACAAGCACGTACACGAACCATTCTCACCCGGGCTGTCGCTCTGTCTTGGTTGCACACACACACACACACACACACGCACACAAGCACGTACACAAACCATTCTCACCCGGGCTGTCGCTCTGTCTTGGTTGCAGCACACTCACAGGCTTCATATTTAGATCAGACACTAAGCTGCAACAGGTGATAGTGTTCACACATATTTGCTGCCAAAGTCTTGTGTACCATACACATTGGTGGTAGTGAGAGGCATTCAATAGTTCCATTATAGCAAGAACAGGCTTCCTATGTGCAGTAATGATGTCACAGATTTGTTAATAGGGCTGCCTATTGCTACGATTTTTTTCCCTCAATGTGCCATTCAGCACACAATCGTTAAAACTCAGATCCAGCAGCCCACACACGCACACACACACACACAAACACACACAATATTTTCTCTCAACACAAGGGCCCATGTGTGTGCAGAAACACTGGCTCAAGCAACCATATATGAACAACAGACACAAATTGAGTAAATGTTAAGAAACGTCTGGTTGCAGGCATTTGAACTTCCTATTCTGACAAATTACTTGTCATTTAGCGTTTTAACTAAAACAAAAACTTGCTTATAGACAGTATTTGCATTTTTTTTTTTTGCTACATATTCCTAAAACCAAATACTTGCGTTAAAATATATATGCTTTACCATTTTTTATTGGTTTGATTTGACATATTGTAAATCAATTACAGAGCAGAAATGAAGTCACTGAATGATCGGCAAGATTAATGGTGCCTTGTGGAGTTTGTGGCAGTGGGCGCCTACGAAGGAATGTTTCCGCCGTTAGCTCCTGTTTGATTTGTAATAGCAATGTGCACAATGAAACCAGCTGCAAAGTTTTATTCTAAATATGCTTAGGCATACGTATGTGATGAGGACCATATGCTGGATTCATTAAAACAGAGAGGCAGGAAATAGCCCACTTGGAGCTTATGAATCCAGTTAAAAGTAAACACAAAGACACGTCTCACTACTTAGGTCATAGGTCAGCATAGCATCTAGCAGAAGAGGTAGAAAATGCTGAATGCTAATGGCAATGCTTAGGGAAACTCATCTTTCACTGTGGTACATTTTGAATAATGGTGCATAAAAATATAATAAATATAAAGATAATGACCAATTTCCATTCATAACGTACATTAAATGGCAACACTGAGTCTGCTGAATGAGACCAAAACCGTGTGTTTGTATAAAAAAAGTTGTCTGAAAAGTAGCAAGCATTTGGTAAGAGACGTGGGTGTTTGAAATGTACGCCTCACAGTCAAGTAGTGGTGCAGTAGATCACTTTATCCCAGCCAGAAAAATAACAATTTGAAAATACAGGCCGAGCGCGCACTGCTTCACTCTAACCATTTGGAAACTCAAGACCTGTTTTTCAAATGTGCCATTGAGTTATTCAGAGTGTTCCAAAAAAGGAGTACTGTAGCCCAGTGTGTCAGGCAGTAGAGATGGAAAATGTTCTCGTACGGGGTGCTGATTGGTTTATAATAGGCTGTGTTTGGAAATTAATGGAAGGGGGCACGCTCTGCCTCTCCGAACCCACACATCTCTGCTTTTAGGGTATATGAGTGAATTTCCGAACGCACCTTTTGTCGACGGGTGCGAAAGAGTTCTGGTTGGATTCGAAATTTCAGCTTCTACCGACGTAAAACTTTTTCTTTTTAGTTTAAAATGGATTACCTTAATGAGAGTCCTGTGTCACAATGATAGAATGCTGGTCGGTTGTGGCGTTTTTTGCTGCTGTAAATCCTTGTTGCAGCATATGGAAGCCACATGCTAAGCTAGCGATACTTCACACATTAGTTGCCATGACTACGACTGTACTACTTATTCTGAAACAATGCTGTCTGTTCCTTTGTTGGGAAGGGAGCAAGCACCTTTTCATCTCTCCTTAACCCGATGACGTCATCCAACAAAGGTGAAGGAAAAGCGGCATGAGGGTTAAGAGATTGGACTTTCTGAAGAGGCCCTGGGTGTCTTTCCAGCAAGCTACCAATGTGCACGTCACATGCTGGATAACCAAAACTGCTCAGGCTAGATTTAAGAGTGTGAATGAGTCACAATCTGAAACCAAATCTGTTTGCCGGGAAAAAGATAAACAAGGCTCATAAAGGCCAAGAGATTATTCAAGTCTGTACCTCTGGGCTCTTAATTTCTGAATGTTAAATCAATTTATCCTCTTGCCACACAACAATCTATCCGTGGCTTTGTGTGTTACTCTGCAGAACACGGATCGCTGTTGTGTTACACTTTCTTATGCTTCCTGATTGTCTATTCTCGTGTGTGTTAATTGTAAGTGTGTGCGGGTGTGTGTTTGTTTTTAGCTCATTCTGAAATAGAGAAGTTCCCCCAGATGTCAGCCAGGGAGAGTAGAGTTTCCACCGTTCAAAATCCGTCCCCTGCCGCCCCTGACTCTGCTGACCTCTTTCAGGGAGCAGGAGGCCAGCTGCTAATGTTTATAGCTTCAAAGTGTGATCAAAGCGTGGTGGCCCAAATAGAGGGCAGAATGACTGAGGAGATACAAAGAGGAAGGACAGACAGATGCGGCAAAGACAGAGTAAGGCATGAGGCTTTTGAGAGAGTGAAACTCCTTATGAGGAAGAAGCACCCGCTTTCAGTGTTTCTTGAAATGACCGTGACCTGGTTTAAAAAAAAAAAGAAGTTATCGGAGTAGTTGTAGCAGCTGTTGGGTCTGCTGCTTGATAAAGAGACACAATGCGCAACTGTGATGTCGTCATCCAAAAGTATGCTTCGCATAAAATGTGCATGCATGTTAAGTTCATTCAAGACTCTAAATTGTCAATAGGTTTGACTAATGGTTACTAATGTGTCCAGTGGTCACTTGGTGACCAGTCTAGGGTGTACCCTGCCTCTTACTCAAAGTAAAATGAGGTAGGCTCCAGATCTCCTACCAATTCAAGGGCATTCATTCCCCATGTGTTGCGCAGTAGGGGGTGACACAGGAATGGATTTTCAATCCTGTCCCATCCCACTTCCACAGACAAAAATCCTGTCCTGCACCAGACCCAGACCATAGTTAAAAAAAAAAAAAAAAAAAATCCTGTTTCATCTCCTTCCAAGTATGTCCCATTCCCGTGCTGCTCCCATTTTGGAGGTCACCTACATTAAAACTGACTGTGCATCTGTCCAATAGTTTTTTTTCTGACTGGATAATGCAGCTGCCCTTTGCTCCCGAACTTTTTATCCCGCACCATCCCAATCCTGTGAGAAAAGGTTAAGTTGACTCCCATCCCAGGGGATTCCCACGGGACTCCCGAAAAAATGTCAATCTCATTGATTTAAATAGGTCATTTGCTCACCTTTTTGTCGTTTACGCAGTGCAGGTGGAGTAACCCTGAAATGTGGGCATTCCCTGTCTAACGCACATTCTTCCAAAGACTTAGGCTACGTTGAAATGATGATGATCTGAACAGAAGACATAAAAGCGGTGTCTGGTCTCCACTTTTCATTTTGCGTTTAGACAAGCGTTGAAAACATGCATGCATACTGTGATGCAAGTGTGTGTGAAATTATTTTGTGTATGCATGCCAGGCAGCAAGGTGGTGCTCTGATATAACGCCGCCATGTCCTTACGCATGCATAAAATCTCCCTTCAGCTGATCTGCGTTGTACGTCAATGCTCTGCACCACGAAAACCAAAATTATGTCTACTAGCAAAAAAAAAAATAATTTGGACAGAAGAAGTTGAGTTACTTCTCCAAATCACTTTAGAAAAGGCTCTTGAACAGTCGACGGATGGATATAGTCAGACATGTTTGTTCACCTACCAGTACCGGCACGTGTATGTGACGGAAACACGGATGCGACGGGAGCAGATCTGAGTTGAGTTTTGGGCATGAAGAGGAGTTCAGAACATTCAGACAGATATGCCTGTCTTTTCCCTCTAACTCTTAGGAAACGTACACCAGCGTCCCTTATTGGATGAGTCACCAAGCAGTCACTACAGTGTGTGTGTGTGTGTGTGTGTGTGTGTGTGTGTGTGTGTGTGTGTGTGTGTGTGTGTGTGTGTGTGTGTGTGTGTCTGGACCACACATTCACAGCTCATTACAGTGTTTTGTCTGCCTCCTACTGTCTGAAAATCCACTCGCAATTAAATCATTCCATAGGGAAAGCCAGCAAAGCCTTTATCACTAATTGTGACAAGGAAGCAGAGGGCAAAGTGTTTATTTATTCATTTGTTCATCCGCTGCTCCTGCACTCAAAACAACCTACCAACGCTGCTCAAGGAGCTGGATGAAACAAATCTTCGAAGGGTTGAACTTGCAACCCACACCGAGAGTTCATTCCACGTCTGGCTGCCTTATTAACCCATTCCCTTTTATGTAGTAGGGCTGCCTATCGAATCAGATTTCAATTGACAAGGACCCAATTCAGTTGGATTTGCGATTCACAATTGATTTGGATTGATTTTCGATTCGGTTCAAGGATTTCACGCAGTGCCAATTTTACTTTCAGATGGAAACACATTCTCTGAAGTAACAATGCTGCAAATAGTCGAAATTTCTTGCTCTAACTTTTTAAAAATTTACATTACGAACTGAACCCAATGCAGTTAAACGTACGTTTTATTGAACGTGATCCGATCAAAACAAGAAGTCTTATTTTAAATCAATTCCAACCACAGGACAGGCTGTGTAAATAAAGAGGCAACAACACACTGTAAACCAGGATGTCAAACTTGTTTTCGTCATGGGCCACTTTTGAGTTGCGTTTTCCCTCAGAGGGCCGTTATGATGTTTAATCTCATTGTCGCATTATTACTCTTAAGGGTAACAAAATTATTTCGCAAAATCTCAATGTTATTTATTCCACATGACAATTTGACATTTCAGTAATTTTATTTTGAGCAAGGATAATGCAAGTTGACACACATAATTTTCTCTCGGAGGGCCACATAAAATGATGTGGCGGGCCAGATCTGGCCCCCGGGCCTTGAGTTTGACACCTGTGCTGTAAACTAATAACATTCCCATTCTTGTGACTGTCTCACAAGGTTTCAGTTCATTGCTCTCTTTGTGGTTGTTAAAACTCAAAAACCTCCGGACATCTGCCTTTTAGCTTGTTGGCTCTGATTTCATTGCTTCCGCCAACTTGTTTTGTTACGCTACTCTCACGAAGTGACAAGATCTTATGTGACGCAAGATGTCACATGAATTTGTGGGTAAAAAGACATATGAAAAGGATAGATTGATTGGTGAATCAATATTGGGCTATAAAAGGGAAAATCAATTTTATTCAATTAGTTGATTTAAAAAAAAATATACAGGTCTGGTCCTCGCGCACTACACCATCACACCTTACACGTCACAGCTGTTCATCAACGGAAGACTCTTCTTTTCGAGATGTCAAATAATGTTTGTCCCACTGTCCTCAGTACATGTATGCGTCTATGTAGCAGTTGCTTATAACGTAGCAAGACAAAAGACGACCACTTCTGTGGAGCCATTTAAAAAGGTTGGCTAAAAACTAGCTGTTGGCAATGCATCTTGATCCACATTAAGTGTAGCAATAAATAGATAGTAAACATACTTAAGCAGCAGATGACTTCAGAAGGCTGGCAGACCTCTTCAGATCTCGCAACACTCTGATGTCTAACATCCGGAATGCCTTTATACTAACCGATAGCAGTTCTGTTTTGAATGAAGACAAACGCTGTAGATATAAGCAGGTTCTTATCAAGATAATAATGGTTAGTTTTGATTGACACTGATGGTTGTATTAAGTAACAACAACTGTTTATTACTGGGGTTGTAGTTTGCAGTGCTGTAAAATGTATTGTTTAAATGAGAACTATGAACTATTTTAATAAGGGGGATGCATTGGCACATACATGTTATATTGCTAACTACAAAAGATGATTATTATTAAAAGACAAACTCTTGATGAAGCGCCTGTGTTGGATATCTTATGACTGAAGGTGTACCTAAAGTGGGTAGCGAGACTTTTTTTTTTCTTTGTGGTTGAATCTTCAGTTTGCAGCTGAGTCTTGTGATAAATGTCTTGATGTCAGCAAATCAGTTCTACTAATCAGGATGAGTCGAAATAGGCAAGCTTGAGTTCATGGTAAGAAGAATTGTCAACCAGTGGAGCTCTTAAATGTTTTTAGCTGTTTTTTTTTTTAAAAAACTGGGCATCGCCACTGCACCAAGGAAAACAATGTGTCTTGATAACGAAGAAAAAAGAAGCCTTTAAAAATCCTTATGTTAGTATAAAGAAATACATACAAATAATGAACGTACTGTGGACCAGTCATCAGAATGGCATCCCTGCAACAATGTCGACGACATGGCTAACCTACCGTCCCATCGTCTGAATATTTTTTTTGTGTTTTGGAAGCGATAGTTTCTTAGGAGCGCCACTGCCTGTAAATCAACCCATTAGATGTGAATTCTATGGCTTGATGTTTATTGATCATCCTAAAATAAAAGGATTTTTGAGTAGAACCCTTTCATGCACCAATAATGATAACCGGATAACATGCTAAGCTGTCCACTGTAGTGACCGCTGGCCCAGAAAAGGTTAAATCCAGGTCAGTACAAAGCTTGGGTTTGCAAACCAGATGGTGTCGATTTGGTGTTGCATTCTTACCCAATGACCATGTTAACACAGATAGCTTCCATTCCGCGAACTATCCACTTTATTGACCCCTGAGGAGGTTACAGAAACTGAAACAGAGGACAATGAAGATGGGGATGTGGTGGTGACTCACGAGATTTGTGCTCATATGTCTCTGAGTCACACAGCAGAGCTCACACAGTGACCTAATGAACGCAGCAAGCTCTGCAGAGACGGCCATGGACTCAAAATACAGTGATCGTGCTCGTGGTGTCAAAATGAATCTATTCATTGACAACTACTCAATTATCAAATTAAGCAACAACTATTTTAATAATCGAGTCCTTGTTTACGGCAATTGTTGAACATAAAATCGGGCAAATCCTCAGCACTAATTTTTTATGGCTGCTGTTGTCCTTTATGAAATCAAACGGATTCTTTTGTGTTCAATGAAAATATGACAATCAAGAACAGCTGCTTTTATGGAGGAAAACAAAGACAGAGGGAATCAGTTTCACATGTGTTGGCGTGTACATCAGTGCCTCTCATGTGCATTGCTTAAATTGTTTACTTGTTTTTTTAACCACTGAACAATACCTAATAAACAAGAATTGGTTCGTAAACAGTAATTAGGGGAAACATAGTTTTGTAATACACTTTAATGCAGAATTACAATTTGAATTGACAAATTTATGGAATAAACAATACTAAAAAGATTCGATAGTGAGAGCCACTCATCTTATAATCAGTTGCCCGGATTTCTTGTCTCCCCCCTACTGATGACAGGACAGTATTTGGAATATTTGTGATGCAGTCTTGCTGCAATGTCATGAATTGTTGAGCTGACCTAATAAAACTGACATTTTTGTGATAGAAACATTCAACTCAACAAAGTGCCCTCTGAGCAGCACGAGATTGAACAGAACTGGGCCAACAAGCGCCGAACAGCGATTATTAGAGCTGAGCAAGCATGTAAACCGCCTCACTTGCGGCTCGAGGACATTTTGCGTTTAGTGTCAGAGGTAAAGTGAGGAAATGCGCGAGGCATTGATTTGGTCTCAGGAGCTGTGGACCTGTTTCGGAGGAAATATGCTGAATAGATCCCAGTGTTTCTACAATACTGTGCATGATCGGAAGATTGAATTTCATGAGCACAAGTCACAGGCAACGCACCACATTAGCACGCCACTGGAGTATTTCTTTCAAAATGGAAACAGGAAAGCACATAGATTTCAGATTGCATCACAAGTTTGCCGTCGCCGAAGGAATGCCGACCGGCTACGTGGGAGAATATAAGCCCGCTTGTCGGAGATGCCGCCATCAACAGGGACACATTGTTTCAACGCCGGTGGCGGGGGTTGGTTCACACCCTTGACCGGGTCAGGGAGCCTTGTTTTGAAGGTTTCCCGACACGGTCAGCTCTTTTTTAGACACATCACAAGGAAGCAGTGACAGCTCAGACGAAGGCTGAAGTGACAGCCGAAACTGTCAGCTCGGTCAGATTTTATTTTTCTTTGCTTAAAAAAAGACCATTGTCTGATTAAAAAATAAATCTTAATCTATTTCAACTAATAAGAAAACAAGATCCATTTTCTAATCCGCTTATCCTCACAAGGGTCTAGCCTTCGAGTCGAGTGAGAGCCGCCTTCTACGCCACCAACACAAGCGTCTTCTCCTCTCAGAAGGCAATGTTGATGAATGTTAACTAATGTATAAGGTTTTATAATTCAGGATTTAAGTAAATATGTGTACTGCTGTCATCTTTGTCTCAAATATGTAAAGTATAAATACTGTTTATATATTTCAAACATGCTGGTGCCCACATATACATACATGAAAATTCCTGGGGTAAGGGGGCAAATCATTCATTGCGGTTTTCACCTTCCGCAGGGGGTTTCTGTTCCCCACTAACCGTGAAAAATCAGGGCTACTGTACTTAAAATCAAACACCCGGACTCATGTGCCATAAAAGTGTGATTGGGACTACCCTAGTCATAAACATTCATGCATCCATCCATTCATTTTTGGATCCGCTTATCCTCACGAGGGCCACGGGGGGTGCCGGTACACCCTGAACTGGTTGCCAGCCACTCGCAGAAATTCCTCAAAATCTTTTATTGTAGTTAAAGACAAAAGAGAGCTAGGTCAGATGCACAAAGGATGGTTTTCTGTGTGTGATCTTACACATTTGACCTATAACAAATAACATGGGCATGGAATCTAATGTCACACTTTGTGGCTCAGCTTACTCTTAAAGGACAGCAAGTTAAAAAATAAAATAAAATCGTATTGCCTCTGTCATTGAGAGGGCGAAGGAGAAAGTAAATCCCACATGAAGGTCTTCACATTCTTTGCTCTTCATAACTCAGATCCACTTGACAGTGTTACGAGTATCACGCCTGTCATAAAATTACAAAATAAAATTTCATATGCGAAAAACAGCTGGACCTTGGCCGTGTGTATGGAACAAACCACTTGATAAACTAAGAATCAGTTAACTTTCCCAACCTGGCTTCGGTGAAGAGAAATGATATCTGCCCATGACTTTCCTAACGTTGAATCCTTTTCCAGGAGGACTATGACCGACTCAGGCCACTGTCCTACCCGATGACCGATGTTTTCCTCATCTGCTTCTCGGTCGTTAACCCTGCCAGTTTCCAGAACGTGCGTGAAGAATGGGTGCCTGAGTTGCAGGAGTATGCACCGAATGTCCCCTACTTGCTTATTGGCACTCAGGTGAGCCCAAACCAAAATGTTGATCCTAAATCACCCTTTGACCTTACCGTGTATATAAAAATCTGCAGATTAGTTTTGTATAAGTCATTTTAAATTGAACGTGCTGAAATGGTTCTCTTGACTTTGACCAACCAAGTGAGCAAGATGTTGGTATGCACCCTCACCAGCCATAACTTTGGGCACACCCGCACACTTTAACCCTTTCAGGGACAGCGGTAACTACAGTAGACAGCTTAGCATGTTATCGGGTTACAGGTTATCATTATTGGTGCATGAAAGGGTGAATGCCAATATCTAATGCAATGGCTGTGAAAACTACGAAACTCTGCATTTAGCGTGGTAATAACTAGCATGTCTCTTGTTCATTCCTCAGACTGACCTACGTGATGACCCAAAGACCATTGCCAAACTGAATGATATGAAGGAGAAACCTATAGTGACTGAGCAAGGCCTGAAACTGGCTAAGGAGGTCTGTATATTGTGAACGGAACCTGAAAGCTTTTATGTTCCACGCAGACGACCTGCCAGGCCCAGTTACAGCATGCAAGCTGCCTTTTTGTTGAAATTACACCTCCAGAGGATTGTTCAGAGCTTTCATCTAGAAATAAAAAAAGACAACCAATCACATCCTCCAACATCCTCCAAACACTGATTGTCAGATTCAATTAAAGTCCTTTTATTATACCGTATTGGCTCGAATATAAGACGGTGTTTGCATTGAAATAAGACAAAGTGGGGGTCGTCTTATATTCGGGTCTAGACATTATACCCATTCGCGACGCTAGATGGCGCCAGATATCATTGAAGCGAATGCTGAACTTGACTCCCCAGGCCAAAGTGAACTCCTGTCATGAAGAATAAAAATAAAAATAGCGGTAGCACGAAGAAGAAAAATAAAAAATATTGGCAAGAAGGAAAAGAGAAGAAAATAATAGCAGAGACAACAGAAAATGGAGAAACGTAGTGACAATCTGGAGAAAAGTGCGTCAAAGATCGGCCAGGTTAACCGGCAGCTGAGGAGAAGTTATGATGTAATTTACATTTCAAAAACCAGAAGCCATTCATTTACGAATGTGACTGCACTTTGGTTTACATATTTAAATGTTCAGATATTAAGATTTGAATGAGGCAAAATAACATGCCTTTTCTCTCAAATATATTGTTATAATCATTTGTTTCAGATGTACTGTAATTATTTTCTGTATAAAAATTAATTTGGTGTTCAAAAAGTCTTTTTTCAAACTTGAATCTTGAAAAAGAGGCGGTCGTCTTATAATCAGGGCCGTCTTATATTCGGGCCAATACGGTAATATATTGTAGCATTTTATTCATTTTTGAACAGAAGTCAGATCCATTATTCATCCTTTATATCCGTTCTCCTGTGATAGGCAGTACACAAAGAAACCGACAACCACTTATATACTTCGTGCTAATGGCAATTTCAAGTCAACAATTGACCAAATGCTGCACACATAAGGAGCCTGGAATGAAAGATACATGAGTTGCCATGGCATCGCACATCAGTCCATCCATTCTTGGACATAAAAATGCAAACATTTGAAAATTAATGGAAAAATAATCCCCACTGAGGCCACTTATATTACTTTTAAAAAAGGGCTCCTTTTGAAAGGGGAAACTGCCCCCGACCCAACGTTACCCCACTGACAGGTGTCCATCCATCCATTTCCTATACCACTAATGTCCAGCGTCTTCCAAAAAGTGCTGATTGCTTAGCACCTATTCAGCTGACACAAATATTTTCACTTCTATCGTCACCTAAGGGCCATTCAAATTCTTAATAGTATTAACCTAACACACCCGTTGTGGACTTTGGAAGGAAGTGCAGATGCAAACTCCACAGAGAGATCATAGAAAGGTTAAAGCGAGGCGCCAAATCAAAAATCCTGCTACAGGATACCGGATACACGACTCGTTGACAACCGAAGGTTGTTTTTGTGTTGTTCACTGACTGCCGAATCATCCTCTTTCCTACTCCTCAGATTGGCGCATGTTGCTACGTGGAGTGTTCAGCACTTACCCAGAAAGGCCTGAAGACGGTGTTTGATGAGGCCATCATCGCCATTTTGGCTCCGAAGAGAAAGAAAGGAGCTCTGAAAAGAAGACTGGGACCCCGTTGCATGAACTGCTGTCTAATCACATGATACAAAGATGTCCCTATTCAGCAGCAGACCACATATGCCGGGCCCGGACTTGCAAAAACTCACGCTAGTTGAGCAGGGATAAAGAAGAACACAGACAATGACCGAGTTTTGAAACTGCGACGCACTCCAAAGGCCATGACTTTCTTTTGCTGCCCAACATGTGAAGAGGTGATTATAAGGAGCACAAACACAAAGAAAAAAACTCTTCTCCTAATTCAGGTGATTTACATATAAATAAATCCATTCAATCAAAAGTGAACATGTTTGCATTACAAAAGGGAGCTTGATTTGTAAAATGTTTTTAAAAACACGAATATGTTGACCTTGGACGTCATCTCGAGGGAGACGTCACTCAGAGCAAGAAGTAGTACATGCCCCTTTTTGGGCATGAAGGCCAAGTTGTTGTCTTTTTTTTTTTTCTGCCACCCAACTTGTCTTCAATTAGTCATCATTTGACAACCTGTAGTTCAAACCATGCTTTGTATAGGGATTACTAAATGAGAAATGGAAATGTATCACCAAAATATTTTGGACCGAGAGATATTTTTTCATATTCTTTGTCATGCAATTAATTGTATGTTGTACTTTTATCGCTTTTTAAGTGTGAGAGGAAAGACAGTCCATCTTTTGGAAGTGATTCACATCCAGAATAACTCAAAGAAACAAATGCAGTCATCAAAAGTAGGTTGCAAAAATGACCTTGGAGTTTTGTAGGAAAGGTTTAACAGATGAAGCACATTCCTCTGCTTATAAGCCTTGCCCATCTTCCAGCACGGGGACGCACCGAGGATGCACAAACTTGCAGGCACAGCTTGAGCAGTTTATCATCATACAAATTTGTAATCCTAAATCAAAATCTAGAATGCCATTGCTGTGCATTGGATGGAAATTTTTGCCTACAATACAGGGTCAAATGTGAAGCTTGTAAGTAAGAACATTTGTCAGAAAAACAAGATGGAACGACGGTATTTTTAATTCTCTTTTATCTATACTTTTATGAAGTACCGTATCTGATGAATTCATCTGGAGTACACTTGCTTAAAAGGCTGACTAGAAAGCAGCACTTTTGTTTTTGCTCTCATTTTTCAGAAGCCAAACTCAAATCATCTGTCTTTTTTCCATGTGCACAAAAGGCAATTTCTCTCCAATGTTACTTTTTTATCTGTCAATCAGTATCTGGTGTGACCTCCATTTGCCTCATTCACAGTGCCTCTCCTTCACATTGACATGAGCTGATCAGGTTGATTGTGGGGCCTGCGGAATGTTGGGCCACTCCTCTCCAATGGTTGCTTTGGCCCAAAATGGCAGCAACTGGATACCACTGTCCAGGGCACCCCAAAACATACTCAATGGCGTGATTGTTTTGGATGAATGGCAAAATTGCATGTGAAGATGTCGAGGCAAATGGTAAGCACATCAAATACTGACTGGTTATTTTACCCCTCACCCCGCAGTAAAACGTTTTGTTTACATATAAAGTGTTAGCCCTTTGAGTTATGTTCATGAAAAATGGGAGCAAAAACGACCCTCCATTTATAATTTTTTGTTCAGTAAAATTCTGACTGATGACATTGGCAAAATGAAAGAATTGAATTATAGTCTGTCTCATTAAGATATAGAAAGGGTAGGTTTTAAATATTGATCGATCCATCCATTTTCTGATGGGTTTATCCTCGCAAGCGTCGCAGGGCGTGCTGGAGCCGATCCCAGCTGTCTTCAGGCAGTAGGCGGGGTACACCCTGAACTGGTTGCCAGGCAATCGCAGGGCACACATTGACAAACAACCATTCACACTCACATTCACACTTAGGGACGATTTAGTGGTCAATCAGCCTGCCATGTATGTTTTTGGAATGTGGGAGGAAACCGGAGTACCCGGAGAAAACCCACGGGGAGAACATGCAACTCCATACAAGAAGGCTGGAGCCGGAATCAAACCCTGCACCTTTGCACTGTGAGGCCGACGCACTAACCAGTCGTCTACCAGCCCACTCTTTCTAAGATCCTTCCCCAATTCATGTCGTTGTACTTCATTTACATGCCATGACTATTACACATTGCCAATAAATGAAGTACATTGTTACATAACATTGACCCAAGCGAACAGCAGCATCAGATTTTATTCTAAGAAGCATTTATTTCTATGAAGTTTGGGTGTCTGATGAAACAGAGGGAAATGCTCAAAGAATGAGATCACTGCAGCCAAAATGGGTTGAAAAGCTAAAGGGTGGTTGCTTTTCAATTCTGCTGCAATAGGAACCCAGAGAGGCCAATTTATTCCGTTTGATGCTTGGGTGAAGACGTTAAGACAGAAAAATCACACCTCAAAACCTCAGTGGGTAAACAATTAATGGATGATGAACTTCTGAGCCTACGCCTCCTTTGAATAAAAATAAAATCAAATAAAAAGCTTTCATATAAAATGACATATTAACCAGCTTTATTGCTGACTCACTCTTTTCTGAAGCAATCGTAGGAAAGATGACATTTCGAAATAACTGCCACAACTCAAGATTGGTGGGCAATGAAACATCTTTTTTCCCAAGATAAAACATGTCATGTGATTGAAGTGACTGTGCACGGTTTTTTTTTGTTTGTTTATTTTCCCTGAAATGCTCGACGGGGCTCAAATGCATTTGGACAGTTGACCGTCTCGCTGTAGCCCGTCTTCTTGTTAGTTCGAGACAGCTAAAAGGCCAAGTGATAAAAATCTGGAATCTTAGTTCAAAGAAGACAAAAAGAGAAAACTGTCAATTGAATCCAATATGTATACAATTCATTCATTTGTAATTTTAATGATGTCATATCAAACCATATTTAAACTACGATTGATATGTTGTATCATGTCAGGCTAACAAGGCCAGCGGGCAGTACGCTGGCGTCTTAAAATGTACTTTTCCTGCAAGCCAAATGTCCCCCAAAATGGCCTTGTTTTGTTCCTTTGCCGTTGGCTTTTTTGTATCTTTTGAAAAATGCCAACTGTTACTGAAATACTGTTGTTCTGTTCCAAATCTGATACAATGGCCGAGTGATGCTTTATGTAAACGGTGCTCCCTTATTTTCAACCGCAGCCTGCACGACTGCATTTGTCGCTTGAAGTCACATGTTGTTTCGCAGGTCAAACAACCTTTTGCTGGGTTTGAGTCCGCCCTCACACCCTCCACTCGACGAGAGCTGCAACCACTAGTGCATTGATGCTCCTGTAAACTCAATTTACTGTGTTTACTGTGCAAAAGTCATCTTCGTAAGTTTACTTTTGAGTTCAAGTTTATGCAGCACTGTTCATGCTTGACAAGAGAGGTGACTTGTCTTGAATCAGAGGTCATTAAATTGGATTTAGACATGACTCAGGTGACCCAATCTCCTAATTTGACTTTCGCGTATCTTATCCATCCAGCAAGTCTGGAGTAGATGGGCGTATGATCAAAGCCCTGTGACATCGTGTAACGCTTTTAAAATTGAAAATGTCACTTTTTTTTTTTTTTTTTTTTTTAATAATGGCAATTTGCATGTACCGGATACTCCAGAATGTTTTGAAGAGTGATCAGATGGATTTTAATAAATTGCAAAGTCCCTCTTTGCCATGAAAATGAGCCTCATTGAACTTCAAGGAGAGAGGTTCAAATCAATTCATGGGGCCGCAAGGAAGTCCAGAAAACACCACAACTGTCTCCTCCAAGGGCAACTTCTCCCCAGTTAGGTGGCTCAGGGAACAAAACATGGACATTTTGGGTCCAAGGTCAGGAAACTCCCCAGACTTTAACCCCATTGAGAATTTATGATCAATCCCCATGAGGCGGTGAACAAACAGAAACTCAGAAATTCTGGCAATCTCCAAGAAGTGATTATGCAACACTGTGCTGCCATCAGTCAGGATGTGGCCCAGAAATTAATTAACAGCAGATCTTGAAAATATCTAGGGCTCGGCACTGAAAATATTGACTCTTGCATAAACTTACTGTCATTGTCCATAAAATCCTTTGACACTTATGAAATGCTTGTCATTATATTTCAGTTTATCATTGTGACACCTTACAAAAAGATCAGTGAAGCAACAAACTTTCCAGAAATCTATACTTGTGTCATTCTCCAAACTTTTGGCCATGACTGTAGATTAACACTGTATTAAACTTGTACTTAGAAATTTCAGTAATTAATCTATTAGTAGGGTCTCACTATTTTCATGCCAATTTGATGTTGCTGTCCTGTACATTACAATGCAACCTATCAAAAGCACTCAGTTCTGGTGAATTTTCTCTCTGCTGATTTATATACAGTAAATTTAATATTTCTCGACAGAAAAGTGATTTGAAGCTAAAACAAGCACCGAACCAAGGTCGCCCACATCACACCAAGAATCCTCCCCATCAAGGCAAATATATCAGAGGCTTTACAGAGACTGTACAGGGATTTGGAATAATCAAATGTGGTACAGCAAGGGGCAACTAATAAAACAGATGGGAAGTCAGCTTTAGTGTTTTTTGCCACAGACCGTAATGGATGGAATAAACAGGTTTTCCTTTTGTTGTGTTTAGTTTTGTATCACATAACATTTTGTTGATTACCTTTTTGGAGACACCATTGTGGAAGAAAACCTGTTGGCTTTGACTAACGTGGTTGGGACCCTTAACATGATTTAAGACACCGCTAAAAAAAACTTTCTGCGAGCTCATTCTCACAGCAAGGCACTTTCACCAGCTGCTGGCTACTTCTCCAACTCAACTGGACCAGGGAATGAAGACTGTTTGTCTTTCGTGCGGTCTGCTGGCATTTGTCATCAAGCTGCTTCAAGTTGACGATGAGACAAGAGCTCAACGCTTCAGTTTGTATTTCCAGGTCCGTCCATTTGCATTGGATACACAAATTAGAAGATGGCACTTTAGTTTACATTCACTCATTTTTCACGAGATCAAAAGTATGGGCAGATGTGACTGTTTTGTTGCCAAGGTATTACATTGTTTACATAAACTATCCATCCATCCATTTTTCGATCCTCTTAATCCTCACAAGGGTCGCAGGGGGTGCTGGAGCCAATCTCAGCTGTCATCGGGCAGTAGGCGGGGTATACCCTGAACCGGTTGCCAGCCAATCGCAGGGCACACGTAGACGAACAACCATCCGCGCCCTCAATTACACCGAAGCACAATTTTAAAGTGTTCAATCAGCCTGCCATGCATGTTTTTGGAATGTGGGAGGAAAACGGAGTACCCAGAGAAAACCCATGCAAGCCCGGGTAGAAGATGCAAACTCCACACAGGAAAGCCAAAGCCGGGATCGAACCCACAACCTCTGCACTGTGAGGTTGACGTGCTAACCACTGGACCACCAGGCCACCTTATACATAAACCACGGGTGTCCAAAATCAGTCCTCAGGGGCCGTGGTCCTGACTGTTTTCCATCCTTCTCGGCTGCAAGACACCTGATTCAAATAATCTATATCGTTCTAATGGTGCTTCCGAGCTGGCTGATGAGCTGATCATTTAAATAAGGTGTGTTGCAGCCAGGAGAGATGAAAAACAGGCAGTACAACGGCCCTCCAGGGCTGGAGATGCCCGACAATTGAATAACTATGCTGTGCTTCAAATAGGTTTTGCCAGACTACATTTATACTTTACAATTAGGAATATAATGGTGCCAACACTCGGTCTGCACCTGTTCTTGTGCTCAAATGCTCAAATACTAAAACACAGATGTCACTTCACCAGCTTTACATCCACCTTCCGGGCAGATGGAGGAGCCACGTCGGCCATGTAGAAACGCGAATAACAACACAAGCCACTCCAGGAGCTCCAGAAACTCCAGAAAAGGATTGCAAATCATTCATTTATAATAAAATTTTGTAATATTTTATTTAAAAAAGAAGTTTTCATCACAATTTATGACTTGGAAACATTTTAATGTAACGACACTTGGTAAACGGCCTTTATTCAACTGTACACCGAGTACTTAAAAGGGAAATCAACCAAGACGTTTCTTTACAGTAATATGTTCTATGCGCCTCCACTAGTCTAAGCACGGCATTCTGATGAATACTGTGTTTGAGGAATATGAGTTAAGCATCAAAATTCACCCGTTTTTAGCCATCTCAGGGTCAGACATTTTGCCACTTGCTGTCAACTGAAAATGACATCACAGTTGCTCAGGGCTAATTGACCAATCACGGCTCACCCGTTTTCTGAATTTGAGCCATGAATGTTTGCTGTTATTGTAAAGAAAATGTTGGGATTGACTTCCCCTTTAAAGACATCAAATATTTTCTTCACATTAATATGTTCTATGTGCCTCCACTAGTCTAAACACGGTTTTCTGAAAAATATTGCACTGTCAAGAATAAGCAGTTTGGATATTGAATGGACGAATGGATGGTATAACAATTAAACAGATCAATCAATCCATATGTTTCAGCCAGCTGTTGACTGGACATGGCGTCAAAGTGCCCTTGGGCTCACGTTACAAATGTTATGGTTGATAATGATCCATTGGGAAACAGTAAAAAGCTGATTGAGTAGAACGTACAGGTATGCGCATTTACCAGAATATCCTCCATATTATCCATCATGAGATAAGATAAGATAAGATAAGATATCCTTTATTTGTCCCACACTGGGGAAATTTACAATTTCCATTTATTCCATACATTTATCCATCCATCCATTCTCTGAACCGCTTTATCCTCACAAGGGTCGCGAGGCGTGCTGGAGCCTACCCCAGCTGTCTTCGGGCAGTAGGCAGGGTACACCCTGAACTGTTTGCCAGCCAATCGCAGGGCACACATTGACAAACAACCATTCACACTCACATTCACACTTAGGGACAATTTTGAGTATTCAATCAGCCTGCCATGCATGTTTTTGGAATGTGGGAGGAAAACGGAGTACCCGGAGAAAACCCACACAAGGCATGGGGAGAAAATGCAAACCCCACACAGGAACGCCGGAGCTGAAATCGAACCTCTGCACTGTGAGGTCAACGCACTAACCACTCAAACACCGGGCCACCTCATGAGATTATATTGCTACAAAATACTCTCCAACTGTGTGCAATAAACAGTTTCAATGTATTATTTTTATGAGTTATATAAGAAATTATATTTTCTTGCTCTCATTTTGCATCAAATAGAATGTTTTATTTAATATGTTCATTTTTGTAGGGGGTTCCCAAGTATTAAGTGGATAAGGCCCTATGACATCATTTCAAAGCTTTATCATAGGGTCACCTCTCTTATCATCAAAACTTGGCCTATGGTCTTGAGTAACGTAAGCTTGACTCTATATGGTATTGACATATTGTTGGGTCACAAATTTGATATTGGACCTGAGAGCTTTAATTTTCCCATGACTTTAGTAACATACATGCAGAAACTATCGTGCGCTCCCTTGGCGGTCGGCTCATATACTTGGGCTGACGTATAAAAAATGAGGACCAATTCTTGATTTGATTTGTGACATTCAAGAGGTCACATAAGCAAGAACATCCAGCCCAGGTCCATTCTGTACTGTGCTGTACACAACAACAAAATACGAAGGGCGGATATGGATCCCTCATCTGATCCTTTCGGACTGAAGAGTTTAGTGGACTGTATTTTCAGAGCAATATATTTTTCGCAACCGACTGACATGAGTGATTTTATACACCAGTACATATCGGATCTAATGGACTTCATCGGATTTCACGAAGAAGAGAGTCTCGAGCGTCTTTTTGTGGTTTTCCAAGAACAATGGGGTAAGATACACTTCTTAAAATACTCTTAGCTTGATCATGTAATACTGCAAATTACTGTATCAGATTTCAGTTACTTGATTCAGGGTACAGAGCGGCAACTACAGTACTTCAAATCAAATCATATTTTTACATTGATAGCTTTTGTATGTTACAGTTACATCGTTTGTTACACAAATACATCCTGTCAGTCATTAGTACAGATTTAACGAATTTCCTCAAATAATGGCCTGTAAATTGTGATTGACTCGATGTGGTGACCTCTAATGAGACGAGGTGAAAGTTACATACACTTGAATGTGCCATCCAATTGAACAAAAAAAAAAATAAAGCTTGTCCGCCGATTATTATATCCAGGAAAAACAAAACGGTTGTGCCTCAAAGTAGCCACACTTTAATAACATTTCCACAAGGTCAAATCTTTATTTTTGCCAGCAAGACCAATGTCACTGGAAAGAGCTAGAATCAAGGAACAAAACAGTGTTTACATTTTTGTCGATATGTTAAAAATTGAGGAAGATATGACGTTTTAAAGGCTTCAACAAACGGGCAAAAGTGTCTGTAACTTTCTCCATTGTTGCATTGGAACGGCCTGTGACTGAAAGCGGTGCGTGGCTGTTTAGGGAGGAGTAAAAGCAAAGAGAATCCTTTGGAATGGAGATAAGCATAGGGAACGACTATATGTGCCATAAAAGCCATTTCTACAATGCAATCCCGATCTGCCTGTTGTTTGTCGGAAATTCCCACACCATCGCTGGCAACGGATGACTGGCTTATCCCCGGGGGGAAGCCTCCCCTGCATCTCCTCCCGATTCAAGGTTAGGCGACTCAAATTTTGGCAACATAATATGTTCTTTGGTGACATACGAATTGGATGTATCTTCATCCCCATGTCCCCTAAAACCCTCGAGATTGGCCGTGTTGATATAAATATTCCAGATGGCGATCAAAACTTTTTAACATTGGCAGACCCATGAGTAACCCCGCCGTGTGTGCAATCAATATAGTAATACTGCATAAAAATCATCAAGTTTAAAAAGCGACATATAGAATAATAGTTGCAGAAAACACATTTTTAACAAGCCGACGCTATTTTTTCTGTTAGGATTGCAAAAAGCACACAAAAATCACCTCACAAAAATGGCGGAAATGAGTCAGTTGTCACGTCCCAACAATACTGCAACATCATAGCACCCGGATAGTGTAGAAAAAGCTGGCAAACTCAGCAAAGAAAACATCACACAATTTTTTATAAATTCATCCATTGTAACCCTTGGCAACATCTTTGGATTTTGTCTGATTCTTTCGTGTTCCCTATTAGAGGTATCAGGGAAAAAAAATTATATCCTTTCACATTGGTCACAACTAATAGCACATCATCCAAAAAGGGTCTGTTAACAGGCAATTTCTTCCCATTGTAGCAAACAAGTAAGTGTAGCAAACTTTGACCAAACAATCAGTGGCCACTACTTGAGGAAATACGGTATTTGGTGTTGGAATAAAATGAAGTGAGGATTTGAAATGTTACACAAAATCATATTTTGAAAGTATAAACTCATATCTGTGGTTTTGTAAACGACTTTCTACAGAGAAGAAGTTTCTAGATATTAAAGACACAAAAACATGCATGGAATCCGTCCCATCCTTACAAAATATATCTGAGGCAGAGATCGAAGACCTTTTGCAGAGGCTGTACAAGGATTTGGCAATGGCAAACGTATTACCACAAGAGGTAATCCATAAAACTGGAAGAAAACGGGAGAGAATCCAGAAGCCAGACGATAATGAATGTGCAGTGGATTTTCCAGCACAGGCCGATGATGACTGCACGGAAATAGATGTAGTGTCGATAGAATGCGTACCAGATGAAGAGGATGACTTTGGAAGGCATGCTGAAGCACTCCTGGATGAAATGCCATGCTTGTCGCCACCTTTATTGGTGACGTCTTCAAACGTAGAAGTGGCTACATCACCAATTTCTTGTGATAGTCTGTCACAGGTGTCACCAGAGCCTTTTGTCGCACCTAGTCCACCAAGGCAAGAGCTTGTTCTGCCACCTAGTCCACCAAGACTTGAGCTTGTTCTGCCACCTAGTCCACCAAAGTTAGAGCTTGTTCTGCCACCTAGTCCACCAAGGCAAGAGCTTGTTCTGCCACCTAGTCCACCAAGACTTGAGCTTGTTCTGCCACCTAGTCCACCAAAGTTTGAGCTTGTTCTGCCACCTAGTCCACCAAGGCTTGAGCTTGTTCTGCCCTCTAGTCCACCAAGGCGAGAGCTTGTTCTGCCACCTAGTCCACCAAAGAAAGAGTTTGTTCTGCTACCTAGTCCACCAAATGAAAAGCTTGTTCTGCCACCTAGTCCGCCAAAGAAAGAGCTTGTTCTGCCACCTTCTCCACCAAAGAGAGAGATTCTCTCACCATGCCCACGAAGACAAAAGTTTGTTCCTCTACCTAGTCCACCAAGGCGAGAGATTGTTCCCCCAGCTAGTCCAACAAGGAAAGTCCAGCATGACCCAGTGATTACTGAACAAAGTAATGTTATGCCACATATGAAAGGATCAGCCGAGGGCAACCGCAGAGCCACAGGGCAATATGTATTGCAGAGTGAAAAGGATAAAACACCTGGATCTGAGAAGCCCAAGTGTATGAACAGAGTAACCCTACTGTTGCCTGATAAGACCAAGGAGGAGTCATTTGGACCCAAAAAAACAGGGTCAGATGCCAGGCCCAAACAAAGTGAGCCCAAGAGCCCTAGGATAAGCCCCTTCAGTTTACCTCAACGACAAAGACCTTCAAAATCTGAACTAGTGAGCAGATCAATGCAAGACTCCAAAAAAACCAGGCTTGTTTACGGCCAGGCATCTGGACCAAAGAAATCTGAAAGATCAGAATCACAAAGCAGACTAACAATTCTGGAGGCCGCCAACATGGTGTCTCGTGTAACATCTGCACCAAAGAGGCCAAAATTAGGACCAACACCATCCTTACCAGAAGTGAGGAGAACAAGGTTGAGTCTTCATCGCTTATATGGAGCAGAAAGGCCTAAAACTGCTGGAGCGGACACAAGATCAAAACCACAGCCAAAACAGCCCTGGAAAAATCCTCTCAGTGATCCTCCAAGAAGGGAAGGACCCCCACGGGTTCTTTGGATGGAGAGGGAAAGGGTCAAGCCTGTGCAAAACAAAAAACATTGGAAACTTCCTGCCAACCTCTTGTTTTGATATGAACCAGAACCCATATCCAAGAACCAAGTTTTGAATCCTTTACTGTTTGTCTTTTTTTTCCATCCTGTATATCTTGAGCAGTTTGTTGTCTTTTTGCATGCTTTTGAGTTGGCATCGTGTCTTAGTGACTTCCTGGCAAGTTCCCACCTCAACCCACGGACTAGCCCATGATGAACATCTCTGCCTAGCCATGTGAGATCCCCCTGGGGTAACACTGGCAGCAGGATATGGTGTCAGAACAGCCCTTTTGTGTCTGAGATACAGATGATCACATATTTTCTTGTGCCTACAGGAACTTCATTGCAAAGGTAGCAATTGCGAGCGGGTCCGACAGCTCGGATTGGAAGTGAGTCGACGCAAGGCGTGCTGCGATGACTGGCTACAAAGGATGTTGGAGGACCCCATTCCACCTTCCCTCAATGATGAAATACCAACATTTTCAACTGACATTTGGCTCACTGGAACCAATAATTTATTAATTGGTGCTGGCAAACTCAAACTCTTTGGTAACATTTAATTCAGATATTAATAGCGGTAATGGAATGTGAAAATACATTTACTGCCTTGAGTAATGACATCTGTAAATAAAACGCTCTTTGTACTCAACCAGCAATGTCCGAAACTCTTGCAATGGTTTGCCATGTCTCCTTTTTAGTGAAAAATAGAATCTTCAATGGAACTTAGTAGAATACTATAGTTGAACTGTTGGTTCCCATAAGAAGGCTTATATTTTATCTTTTACAAGGATCCCTATTATGTTGAAGTTTGACATTTGCAGCAACACTAAATGTAGGGCTTTCTGCCGGCACCAGATATTGGCTTTTAGAAGAGGAATTAGAATTGGGCTATTCAAGGGAATTTACAGTTTAACAAACCAGTGCTGGTTGCGGAAGGCCAAAGACATCTGAGGAATTCTCCCGGAGGGTGAGTTTGACCATGGACCGGATCAAATGGTAAAGTGATGTGACAATCGTTTTCTTTAAAGGAGTTTGCAATTTAAAAAAAAATTCTCGTATTTGTTAAAACTCAGTATGATCTGACAGTACTATATTATGGTATTAGCCAACCGGAACCTATTTTTTTTCCCACAGATTTGTCCCTAGGTGTGAGTGTGAGTGTGAGCGTGGATGGTTGTTCATCTCTGTGTGCCCTGCGATTTGCTGGCAACTGGTTCAGGGTGTCCCTCGCCTACTGCCTGAAGACGGCTGGGATGGGCTCCAGCACCCCACGCGACCCTTCTGACGAAGAAGCGGATCGGAAAATGAATGAATGAATGAATGTGTGATTATGGCTGGCCAGTAGCTACTCACCTATATCCACTGATGTAATTCTCACTCAAACGTAATCAAACTTTGTGTGAATGGTGGATGTTTTTGCATTACAAAAGCTCTAAATACATTCAGATTTCAACAATAAATGAAAAATCCCAACCATACCTTGTAAACAATCATGTGCTTATAATACTCTTCGGATGAAGGTGGTACGGCATTTTGTCAGCTGGGTGGTACGGGTTTCTTTCTGTTTTGCTGCCACAAGAGGGCAAAAGAGCGCTTAGTCTAAAATTGTTGGCATAAATCGTATCCTTTCAAAGGGGTTAATGTCCACACAGAAATTAAGTTAACCATAGTTACTACGACTTGAAAACACAAAATGATTTGTCAGCTCATGACAGAATAACAGTTTTATAAATTTAGCAAATCATCAGATTCCCAAACTTTCCAAATTTTAAAAATGAAGGTTTAACATTAAGAGATATGTTACACATTTACCTCTCTGTCCACATTTCTTGACTGATTCAAACCATTTCTACTTTTTAAAAAGAAAGATTTAATACATTCCCAAATCTTCACAATTAAATTTTCAAATTTATGCGATAGCTTTGACATTTAATTCCCCCTTCCACTTTTTTTCAACAGAACAATTCCAACAAGTCTTAATTTTACAAAGCACATTTAACCAGTTTGTTTAATTTCACGAAATTCCAATGTCAAATCCTCATGCAATTACTACCGAAATTGTATTTCTAGTTCCTCAAATAATCCTCGGCATTAGGCGTTTAAAGTGATGGTTATTATTAGTAGTAATAGTAGTAGTAGTAGTAGTTGTTGTATTACATTTAACGTTTAAAGCTCCGTTAGTGTTCTTACCTTGGGTGACGTAATTGTGAGTGCGGCCTGCTTAGGTCACGGGAAGCATCATTGCAACGGTCCACGTTTCCAAGTAGCTGCCAGTGACTTGCCCAATCGTGGGCTGTGTGCTCATTGGAGGCACGGCACGCCCATCACTGGGAGACAGCTCCGGGGGGTTTCCCTATCCGTGTTCCCAGTCGGAAGTGCAATTGATTCCCTTGTTCTCCATTGGACCACCACGCCGTCAGTCGTGCTGCTGAGGTGAACGAGCGCTCCCCGGCCGTCAGGGCTGCGAGACCGCAGTCATATTGGCCGCTGGAGGCTGCAGCTACCAGCTCGTTGGCGAACAAGACTCCCCTACTCCCATGGAGAACGGGAGTTGGTGGCTGTAATTTGATTTAGCCTTTTACATGTTTTGCACGGTAGCTGCCAAATGTTTTGAGACCTAGGGATGACATCATCAAGGATCTTCGGACCTTTTGCGCCTTCGTCCGACACCGTGGTGAGCCAAAAGGATATATGCCTGCTCTCGTTCAATAGCCATTTTTTGCAGACAAAGAGGGCTGTTGAATAGGGCTCTCAAAAAGCCACAAGGGTAAGCTATATTTCGACAGCACAACACATTACACATGAATCATATTCTGTCTGTCCGTGCGGTTACTGCTACACACTGATGTTAACCTCATTTGTGGACAATTTGCCATGGATTTTTTTTTTAACGCCAACCACGCTAGCCATCATCTGTGTGGCTAGCTTGAACGCTAGCTCCAAACTAACGCTATAGCGCCCCTGTCCGTGGAATGCTAATGGTTAGCATTGTGGGATATTTTTTCCCCTAATTGCAAATATTTAGTATTAGATGTTCGAAGATACTGTTTGGGTGACCGGTGTCTTCGTGACTGTTTGGCAAATGTATGTCAATATTGCAATTTTTGTAACTGCGTTTTCCGTCGTATATGGGCGAATGCTAGCAAGAGAGCTATCTTTGCTGGGATTAGGGGAAAAGAGGAAGACGTCCTCCTCTATTAAATTAAAAGATCTCGCAACTGTAATTAGATGTCTACAACAATGTTTCAGTCACTCGATGGAGCATGTTATTGTCACTAATAACGCACCTCATATGGTTTGGAACCTTTCTTTCTTCCACAAAGTAATCTAAAATAAATATACTGGTACGCAACGTAAAACACCCGGCAAAGGTATTAAAACAACCTTCGGCTTTTATAATTTTATTGCTCAGTCTTGTCTTACGAATCGTTTGTAATTGTTTTAATTCCTAAATTCGAAAGGAATTGTTAAAGCTTTGGCAGTGGTTATTTTGCCGTGGCCGGTAACTCTCCTGCAAGCGTTATTCTGCCGTGAATGCCTCCGATTAGTCAATCGCCGGAGGGAGGAATTCTGGACCTATAGTACCGTGTACAGTATCGGCTATTTAACCGTGATTACAGGAGGTTGGCCGTGAATTGGTTATTTTTAACGAGATATGATCTTTTTGTCGGCCCCAATCATTTTTGTGGTTCACAAGCTACAATGAAATTGTTCAACTGCATAATTGTTTAGTTCTTCCATAAAAATGTGAAATACAATGGCTTGTTTAAACTCCGCACTGGTTGCAATAAATTGTAAACATAGTTAAAAAAAATTAATATGTAAATGTCGAGAGTGGTATTTGAACCCGTGATGCAATGGAATAAAGCATCACTTTTGGTGTGACTGCTCTACCCACTACACCATGAGCTGGCACACTTTCACTGGCACAGAATTTGTACTTGTAGTTCTCGCGCAATTTACCGCAAACCGCTAAGTGGAAAGTTGCCAGTCACGGCAAAATATCAACTGCATAAAGCTTTCATTGTCTTTGTTAGGTATGTGCTTAAAAATTAAGATTGATTGATTTACATGAAACCAGCATTATGAGACAGATCTTTTGGAGATCTATGTTCTTGTGATGAATACAAAGTTATGCGTATTTAAGAGCAGTGAAGATGTACCAATTCCTGGCCAACTTCGTAATGCAAAGTCGATGGGGAGGTTTAGTTGTAAATGCTTTATTTTTGTAGAATCCAAGTGGCAAACTTCCATAACTTTCTTCAAACCTGAAAACCTGGACTCACCCCCACTCACCCATTTTTAATGAGCGCGGATGGTTGTTTGACTATGTGTGCCCTGCGATTATCTGGCGACTGGTTCAGGGCATCCCCCGCCTGCTGCCCGAAGACAGCTGGGATAGGCTCCAGCATCCGCCGTGACCCTTGTGAAGATAAAGCGGATCAGAAAATGGATGGATGGATAAATGTTAATACCACAATGACTGTTTTTAAATTTAAAATTTCAACAGTAAACAATCTCCCTTTAAGTAAATGTAATGCACAATTATAATGTGAATGTGATAAAGCACGACAAAATATTGCTGTATGTCATTTTTAAAATGGGTGCCGTGCATACAAAAAAAAAGTCCTGAGAGTGAAAAAATACTCCATGAGTTGTTAATATATAAGGGACAAAGGTATCAAAAGTAGGGGGCATTTGTAGTTGGGGGAGGCCCGAGGGGGTAATAAAACGAATGTCGGAGGCGACGGAAAACATGAACCATCATGGTGGGTCAGAGTAACATCATTATTGTGATTTGGCAAATTCTGTCTATAAGTTGACCAATTTACTTAAATTTGGCAGAAGCATAGAAAGTATATATCGTCAACAAATACGGCCATTTGGATTTGACGAATGACCTTACTTACCCAGAACTTTCTGAAGGGTGTTTGTCAACTCCATATTCGAGAAATATTCAATCTTATCTTGATCTTTCAAAACATTTCAAAGTCGTAATTAAAGCTATGACGCCTATTCTGCGTCATCGTTAAGTGGTTTATAACGGTAAGATGAAAACGGCGGTTCCGGCGTAACTCAAGATGCATGTTGGTTAGCATGGCTCAATGAGTGGCCATTTTTTTATAGGCGTGTATACAGTACCCACATACCTAAAATTCAGCTTTACACAAATACTGCTCTGTCAAAAAGGAAGCAATAAAAATACAGTAAGTTTTTTTTTTATATGTTTGAAAAAATCCGCGATGCACTGAACCCGCGATAAACGAACCGCGAAGTAGCGAGGGATCACTGTAGTCAGCATTTTTTTGACCAGTGCATATTGTACCCTATCTTTGCCTCCAAATACATTTTGAGTTATGCATTAAGAGATTATTCTCCCGCCCTCTAATTGAATTGCTGGGATTCAAGCAATCGCAAGAACAAACCCCTGAATAGCTTAGCATGTGAGGCATAGCAGATATCTTCTCCACTCGCCTTCTCCCTTCATCATGCCTTGCCAAGAGCCATCTCAGAGATCAGTTAGATCCCAGGAGAATGGGTGTGTTGGCCTGCCAGAAAGGCGAATTAGCCTAGTTCTGTTCCACACAGTTGCTGGATTTATGTTCCCTGCGTGAACATGAAGATGTAATCGGGGCTCTAAACTAACTTTTGCGCTGGTAGCATCAACTTTTGCAAGTGGTCTCACCAGCACAGTATTTGCTCGCACATTTTTGGGGGCGGTACATCTTCACCATGTTTGCTCATGTGTAAATCGTCCAACTAACTTCAGTTTTCCTTTATATTGACTTTGAGCAGCCAGTTCCAATGATGGACAGGTGTCCTAATAGGGACCTTTTTCACAAAACTGGACATATGTAGACAGTTGACCAATAGCGCTATCAATGGATAAGGCTTCTCTTCGGGTTTACCTTTTGCGTGCTGGCCTTTAGACGTGGTGACCAGAAACTAAGCATTGTAGGTAAAGTGAGTCGGTGGTAAATGTCTGTACAGACTGTACGCTAGGAGGTTTTGTTGTCAGTTCTACTACCACTTTAATGGGTATTTAGTGCCCTTTAAGGTCTTTTTTAAAAGTACTTTTTAAGGTCTTGGCGGGCATGGCGAATGATTTCAGAACTCATAGTCCAACTCATAATGAACAAGCAAGTAAATTATGCAAAAAGAGCAGAATAGACAATAGCTGTTAGCTCAACAATGGTTAGCATTAGGGCGACCTGGCTATTATTATCAATAATGTACACTGCTGCGCCTCACTGAAAACATGACATGGAGTTATGCGTGCACGAGACATGCGAACCAACATGGAACTGTCGAACTGAACCGATTTCCAAAAGCTATTTAACTCCTAGCGTGTGTGTGTGTGGGGGGGCAACTCTCACAGTGCCGAACAAGTTGAGAGACAGCAGGGTGAAGGAGCAGCGTGAATGAATGATGACGACGTAGGTAAGCAAATATGCATGCGAATGACCTTTTATCTAGTCCCAAATATTGGGACGATCTTGTCCATTTTTTCTGATCAAATGATAAGTCGATATATTAATTTTCGTGACCTGCCAAACCCCCATCATTTTTATTGTTACAGTTTGACAGAAAGCCCACATTTTTGAGGATGTTTATAGTTATTAATATTCATAACTGTATTCATTTTTCTGTATGAGTGCAAAATGTCCAACTGTATTTGAATGCACCTTGAGTCTCGCCAAACACAAAAGATGTCAGTGTTCAATGTCATGTTCCCGTTAGGCCCCTATCCATTTGAACCACAAAGGTTAAGGATGTTTGACAAACAATACAAATAATCAATCACGCAGTCTGACAGTGAGACACAAGATGCACCTTCGCTGTATGATTATTGATCTTTATTTATCGTATTGCATACATTTTTTTTTTTTTTTGCACGTCTTGTTAAATTTGTAGTCGTAAGCAATGGCTTGAACAAGTCAACGCCCAGAAAATGTTACATTTTACGCAGCGAGAAAACAACATGCAAAAAGGAACTATCCTGAAGTAGTATTTTCTTAAAAGCTCAAATAATTCAGTGTCAAGGTGCTAAATATGAAATAAGAATTCACTTCTTATTATCTTATTATCTAATAACTAAAAAAAAAGGTTTTTAGAATTGTCACTTAATATTTTAAAGCGACACTCTTAGAGGGGTGTGAGTGTGTTTACGTTTTCTCCTTCCAAATATCCAAAATATGATGATTCGGAGGATAAACCCGGAAAAATGAACCACAATTTTGGCTGTTCCCTGTTTTTCTGACAACATAAGATCCAATTCAACTGCAATAGCAATTTCAAGCAATTTTTAAATTCTTGTTGGTGTTGAGACTTTTTGTGACTGCGCAGCTCTCCATGAATCACAATTTGCAATAAATTTTCAAATTGGAAGGTATTTTTCGTAGTTGAAATCTTATTTGTTTTTCTTTCGTCGGTGATGCAGTCCTGGTTTCGATAGTAGCAGTAACAGCAGATATTTGCGACGTACAAATGATTTTGTCACAGCAACTTAGTGATCGTGTTGCACATATAAAATTCTAGATTTATTTTTTTGCCCATGCTATAATTAAAATTCTCAGCAGACCTCAAGATAGTCACATCTCTAGAACAGTGCAATGGTTCTTTTGAATTTATCAGAAGAAATAATCTTCAAATGTGTCTTGGAGATACACCGAGCCATTTGATTTGAACTGGAGCGACGTGCCTAACCAACGTCTTACGCTGTGATATAGAGTGTTGTAGAAGCGTGACCTGGGGAAAGAAAAATCACTTCTTGCTAAAGTGCAGTGCACACAATGTCAATTTGATGCCGTTCGGTTTGTACTTTGCACATCTAGTCTGACAAAGTATTTAGAGTAACATGGGGAAAATGATCTGGATAGGTTTTTGACTCTTTCGAAAGTATAATCAAACCACACTAGTCTTTGTTTTGGAAGTAAAGACATCTATCCTCTGCACCTTCTTACAAATAACGATAATGCTGCTTTGTTCAAGATATGACAGAAGCACGCGAAACTCTCACAAAAAATGGATACACAGATAAATGTACATGTTGGGAATGATCATTTAATTGTCCTGCCTGTCACTATATGCCGCTGGCAGAGATAGTTGAGCAAACATACATTATATGTTGCAAAATTTGACAGATTTTTTCCCCCCACATTTGTTGCATTCACTATTTTTCCATTCTATTGAGCACATTTCCTATGGATTGCAAAGGCACGTAAATCAGCTGCAGGCATTTTGTAATTTGCAAAGCGAACGGTAATCATTTGATAATGTCTGCCATCCCTCGATAGTAATGAGCATTGTTCACCACCAGAGGTTATTTTGTACCGATCATTGGTAATTTATACCACTTTTTCAACCAAATACAGTTTCTTGTGAAGTATTTTACATCATCAAATAATCATGGCTTGGGTAGTTCCAACTCATAATTCTTAATCCTACATTTTTGGACAATGTTATGCTGCTACCTTTTGTGCTATGCCTCAGTGGACAAAGCAACGCTGGTTGTAACAGCGCATCGCTGAGTGCATACAAAAAGGAGGGCATTTACATGTACCCTGTCTGCTGTCATTTCAAGAAACATTTTGGTCAGGTCTAGACTAGCTCTGTAACAGAGTACATACCGGCAGATCCTGGGTCATTTATAGCTTTGGCCTTGTGTCACCGCACGTCTGCCTGGCAACCCTTAACTCTACTGTTCCAACAGCTCAAATCCTATGTATCACAGTCTATGTACCTTTTATAATGCCGTTTTCTTTTTTTTTTTGTCTTTTTTTTTTTTTGCAGGTCCTTGGGACTCTTGTTGAAAACAAAGTGTCACCGCACGTCTGCCTGGCAACCCTTAACTCTACTGTTCCAACAGCTCAAATCCTATGTATCACAGTCTATGTACCTTTTATAATGCCGTTTTCTTTTTTTTTTGTCTTTTTTTTTTTTGCAGGTCCTTGGGACTCTTGTTGAAAACAAATTCAGCAATATGTGGAGTAGCCTGAAAAGCAAATGCCAAACTCTCTTTCACAACAACAGTTCAGGACCCAATGAAGGCAGGAATGAGGCAGACGCCGTCCACTGCGTGGTGGATCTCAGCCAAGGAGGTGCCTCAGGTTCAGCTCAGGCATCCGAAGTCTCCACTTCATCGAGTACCCTCGTTCCAGTGCCAATGGTAACCGTAGCCCGTCGTCACAACTGTGTCTCGGACACCCCTCAGATAGTAGAGATCACTATCGACAAGGACACAGAGGATGTGGGTGGGGGATCAGGAGGTGTCCCCTTGGCTCGCAGAGACTCCTATTCCCGTCATGCGCCATGGGGGGGCAAGAAAAAACACTCGTGTTCCACAAAAACTCAAAGTTCTTTAGAGATAGATCGACGGTCTGGACGCCTGCGAGGTAGTGGCAACCGTCGAGACAGACGCTATGGCGTCTGCTCGATCCAAGAGATGAGCGAGTCTTTGTCTGGAGGACGCAGTTTGAATAGTCGGTCGTTGCGTCAGCGACTAAGCGATACCGTAGGCCTTTGCTTACCACTACCTGCTAGCAGACGCTCTTCAAAGAACCCCGTTATTTCCAAACGAAAGATTCACCTGACCGAGCTGATGCTGGACACCTGCCCCTTTCCACCAGGCTCAGACCTTGCCCACAAATGGCATTTGATCAAACAGCACACGGCACCAGTGAGCCCACATTCCTCAACTGCCCTGTTGGATGCTTTTGACCCAGCACACCCTTCCCCTGAGGACGAGGAGGAACGTCTGCGCGAACGCCGCAGACTTAGCATCGAGGAAGGTGTGGACCCACCTCCGAATGCACAGATCCACACCCTTGAGGCTGCCGTGCCAGGCTCATCTGTCTTCAAACCGGGACCAAAGATGGCTCCAGGCATGGGAGATGTCCCCGGCGATGGCCGAGCCTCAGGAACTGCTAGTTCTTCAGGAGCTTCAACATCGGGGGCCTGTGCACAGGTGTTAGGGGCCGCAGCTTCAGCCCAGGACACTGACTCTGAGGAGGACTCGACAACCCTCTGTCTACAGGCCAGGAGACCGAAACAAAGGCACGCCTCTGGGGAGGGTCACCTGAGCAGACAGCAACCTGGGCCCTGGAAGGTTCACACGCAAATCGATTACATCCACTGCCTTGTGCCAGATTTATTGCAGATCACATCATCGCCCTGCTACTGGGGTGTCATGGACCGCTACGAGGCCGAGTCACTGCTGGACGGACGTCCGGAGGGCACCTTCCTGCTGCGTGATTCCGCCCAGGAGGACTACCTTTTTTCTGTCAGCTTCCGCCGTTATAACCGCTCACTACATGCCCGCATTGAACAGTGGAACCACAATTTCAGTTTTGACGCACACGATCCTTGCGTTTTCCATTCTTCCACCGTCACGGGGCTGCTGGAGCACTACAAGGACCCAAGCGCCTGTATGTTTTTTGAACCTCTGCTCACAGCACCTCTCCATCGGACATTTCCCTTTAGCCTGCAGCACCTTGCACGAGCAGCCATCTGCCGCTGGACCACTTATGATGGGATAGGCTCTCTGCCGCTGCCCCCTGCCTTGCAGGACTTTCTCAAGGAGTATCACTATAAACAGAAAGTTCGAGTTCGCTGGCTGGAAAGGGAGCCGCCGCTAAAAGTCAAATAGTGCTCTTTGTCAATTTGCCTGTCAGATCATGGAGAAAGATTACGGAACTCAAGAAATGCCTCATGAGAGGCTACATCGACTGAGTGATTCACCTCTTTCCAGTGGAGGTTGGAATTCAAATGTAACAACCTATACAAGATTCATTCTAATCTTTATTTTAGTTATCACTTACTGAAAAGCATATGAGTATATCTGTGTAGTACTGCCTGGCTAGCACAAACGATGGAGTACTTTATGAGTATAAACAGTACCGGTATATTTTTGAATGAGGGCAGGGGGGAGTAGCACAAATAGTGCAAAAACATCGTTTACCTCCTGCTTTGCCCTTAACATATGCCTGATCCCAAAACATCACCCTGCCTGTAGACCTCCATGCATGCCTCCCTGTCAACCCCACGCAAAATTCAAATTCAAATAGCTATACTAAAGCCAGATTCTGTAGCTACATTGTACAGGTCACTTTTTATGCACTCAATTGTTTTTCTTGTCAAAACACATAGTGGGACACCTTTCCAAGAGGTTCTATTTTTTTTTAAGGTGTGTGCTTGTCAAGGCATCTGGAAGTGCTTTTCGTGTGTTGCATTCTGGGCTTGCCTCATTGATAAAGCTACATAAGCCACATCCTTTGCCATCTCTTTGCACATGAGCATTAGCTAAACAAGAGACGGGTGAATTCTGAGAGGGCCCATGGATGTTCAGGAAAGTAGATCAGGGAACTTAAGTGCTTTTTAAAGGATTATAGATTATTATCAACATGTTTCTCCCTAAAAGGTTTATGGTGACTGATAAATAATAAACGAGCCTACTGTTTCTTACTTTGTGAGCTAAATTGTCAACTTTATTCTCACTGTATGGATTGGCTTCGTGATCAGGCTACCACAGAAACACCCAGTATATTTCCTCCTGGATGAAATTCAAATCCAGACTCCACATTTTTCTCGTTTCAGTCGGATCGTGCTGTTATTTAACATACATAAGGTTTGTTCATCAGCTTCATGACAGTTCTAGTCTTGCAGTAATCAGGATTCAGTGACTTAGTTGATTATGCTTACGTTTTCTTCATCAGCCACTTGAAACATGCTTGTATCACCTTTTGAGTATTTATTTAAATAAATAAATAAATGAAAAGGGAATGGGGTACATTTCACAAAGGATAAGAAAAGACAATCAGTCTGTCTAAAATTTGAGGACGTCGTTCTCATGTGGCTGTGTGGGTCACTTCCAATTCTTAGGGTTATGTAGGAAATGGAAACTTATTAAGACTTTTTTTTTTTTGTCATTATTTCAAAAGACCACTAAAAAGTAAGGTAGCTCTTTAATAAATTGTTTCGATGTTGCCACCCATTTAACATAACTCCCATTGTTAGTCTTGGAGCAGCATTGTTGAGGCTTTCCGAAACCATGTAATCTGTGCCATAGTGTTCTGTGCTGTATGCATCATGCTGCAGTCAAAGTTGAATTTTGTTGCAAAGCATCTTGCTTGGTACCGAGCAAGCCACCGGACATCGTGGCTTTTAGAACATGGTGGTGCTGATGGTGCTTTGAGTCCGAAGGTACTGACACATAGACAACTTAAGTGTAACCTATGTGCCTTTTATATTGGAACAAATGTTCATCTAAATTTGAAGTAATTTATTCCTCATCAGTCCGCTGATGTTACAGAATCACAAACATATTGGTGCATTAGCTCCAAGCTCTTTCACTCACGGTGCACATAAGATCTTTGTTTACTGGTGCTAAGTTGGATAAGCTACGGCAAATTAATTACTTTCGGGGGAGTGATTTAAAAAAAAAAAAAAAAAAAACAAAACAACTTCTATGTATTTCTATCTCCATACACAGTTGTTGGGTCGCTAGAAAAATGCAAAAGAATATGGGTCCAATGCCATCTCTTCTGTACCTGATAGCAGTCGAGGCCAAAGCAGCTAGTTTTCCTCCTGCAATTTCACAAACTCTACCCCGAGAATTTAAACTTTTTTTTTTGTTCACTTATTCACCAGCATTCAATTAAAACTGCATGATCCACATAGCTCTTCAAAAAATTGAAACCCCAATAATCATCTGTGCTGAATATTAACAATGGCTCTATGTAAATCGCCACCCTCATGTCACTTTGTCAGAACGCATCTTGCCATGGTTTATTTCTTGTCATTGTCATTGAACAGAAATTCTGAACAAACATTGCTTCTTTATTTATTATGAATAATTTGTGAAACGCTCTTCTATTGCCATTGAAAAATCCTGTGACCATGGAACGGTCACAGGATATGTGTCGACGAGCAGGCTAATCATCGCTGCTGTGCTACAGCGGTATGTTGTGCCAAGTCACATTTAAATTGATTTTCAGTCGACAAAAATTGGACACTTTTCTTGGTTAATATGTTGTACATGTAATATGTAGGTTCTGTTCAAACCTACACGCAAAAATCTCAATCTCTCATCTACACCTTCAACCCATTTGTTTTGGATTTCTGTAGCTGTAGTTTGCCTCATATCTCACGAACTCATGTTTTAATGTTTCCATCACACTGTGAATTGATCCGGATATGTCAAACATTTCTCTGAGAAAAATGTATCCTTGGTCTTTAAGCGGGAAATATAGTGTCAGCAATGAAGTCATATGCATTATCTTTTATACCATGGCTATCCTGTATGGTACTTCTTAGCAATAGCATTACTCCTTTTGTTGTCCTGTTCGCTAAGTAGCACCAATCGCAGGTAAATTGAAAAACTGAGCGCCTCTCTGTGTGGCTTTACGGAGACTGTTGGAATTAGGGAAGCCTTTTTACCGTAATTCTTGACACTCTATCGAGCCACGGGCCTCCCAGGGGGCCAAGTCTCTCAGGGTATCAAATTGGCTGAAGTCCTGGAGCCAGTCCAAAATGGCTACTGTCCCCCGAGTGCCCATGACCATTGATTACAATTTATATATACAGTCAAACCTCGGTTTTCGTCCATAATCCGTTCCAGAAGGCTGTTCGAAAACCGAATTGTTCGAAAACCGAAACCACGCTTTTTTTTAAAAAAAAATGTTTATTGAACACGTCTGTTCACAATGGAAAGCGACACGAGGAAGCGTCACTTCCTCGTCTACACGAGGAAGCGTCATTTCCTCGTGTAAGGAAGGCGAGAGAAGTCAAGTGGTGCATTCAAGTGTGCTCAGTTTGTTCGAGAACCGAAATTTGTTCGTCATCCGAGGCATAAAAAACTCGAAATTTTTGGCATTCGAAAACCGAGGTCCGACTGTGTATTTTTTCTCTTCAATCACTATTACCTTAATTACAATTATAAGATGCAAATGTTGAGTATGAGGGCAGTGATTTTTTTTTTTTTTGCAAAACCTGAATCCAATGAAGGTGGGACTTTTGTGTTAAACATACAAAACAGAATACAATAACTTGCAAATCATGTTTAACATCGACTTAATTGAATACAAAGACATTTAATGTTCAAACTGATAAACTTTATTGTTTTTAGCAAATAATCATGAACTTGGCATTTTATGGCTGCAATCCATTCCAAAAAAAAGCTGAGACATGGTCATGTTTTCCCCAGTGTGTTATATCACCTTTTCTTTGAACAACATTCAATCAATATTTGGGAACTGCGGACACTAATTGTTGCTGCTCTCTCGGTCGAATTCTTTCACATTCTTGCTTGATGTACAACCTCAGCTGCTCAACAATCCAGGGTCTTCATAAAGCCCGACACATTTTTAATGGGACCCCATGTGGTGATTTCCATTACACATCGATGTCGGCTTTAATGCAGTGTTGTCTGAGGGGTCGACGGTCACAGGCATTCAATGTTGGTTTTCGACCTTGCCGTTTACATGAAGTGATTTCTCCAGATTCTCCGAACCTTTCGATGATCTGAACCGTAGATGATGAAATCCATAAATTCCTTGAAATTGTACATTGAGAAACACAGTCCTAAAACCGTTCGACTGTTTTCTCACTCACTTGTTCATTAAGAGGGGAATCTCGCACCATCTCTGCTTGTCAGGGAAGCTCCTTTTTATTTATTTATTTATTTATTTTTTTATAAACCCAATCATGGCACCCACCTCTTTCCAGTTAGCTTGTTCACCTGTGGGATGTTCCAAACACGTGCTTGATGAGCATTCCTCAACCTTCTCAAGTTTTTTTTTTTTTTTGGCCACCTGTCCCAGGTTTTTTTGCAACGTGTTGCTGCCTGCCATAATATTCGAGGTTAATGATTATTTGCTAAAAACAATCAAGTTGATCAGTTTGAATGCTAAATATGTTCTCTTTGGAGTATATTCAATGAACTGTAGCATGATTTACAAATCATTGTAATCCTTTTTTTGATGTTTGACACCACTCCCAACTTCATTGGAATTGGGTTTGTATTTGGTTCATAGCCATAGACATCCAAATCAGTATCTTAATTATTTAAACTTTACCCATGATACAGCAAGTAACTAGGAATGGGCATGAGATGAAAATTTCTTCAACTAAGGAAAATTACCGATCAATTATTTATTAACAAAAAAGGCTAGTGAGGTAGGATTCTCTCTGGATGCAGCTCAACTTTTCATAGCTATCAGGTTTTATGCACCACAAACTAACTGGAGTTGAGACTGTAGCAACAGTGCCCCTGCTGGTTGCCAGAGGTAGTGGACTGCATGTTGCCAGAGTAATATATGATGAGTTCTGTTCAATACACTGAATTCTTAATGATTAAAAATATTATGCCCATCCATACAAGAAATCATTTATTGGGGAAAAGACATATAGAAAAAATATAGTGAAAATCAAAACAATATAGTTAAAAATATAAACTGATATATCATCCATCCAACAATTATCTGAGCCACTTATCCTCACAAGGGTCGCGTGAATGCTGGCGCTTATCCCAGCTGTCTTTGGGCAGTAGGCGGGGGACACCCTGAACTGGTTGCCAGCACACGGCTATTCACACTCACACTCCCACCTAGGGACAATTTAGAGTGTTCACTCAGCCTGCCATGCATGTTTTTGGAATGTGGGAGGAAACCGGAGCACCCGGAGAAAACCCACGCAGGCACAGGGAGAACATGCAAACCCCACACAAGAAAGCCGGGGCCCAGAATCCAACCCTTGACCTTTGCGCTGTGAGGCGAACATGCTAACCAGTTGGCCACCGTGCCGGCCACTCATATCTCAGTATTAGAAAGGAAAAAAAAAAAAAGTACAATGTTACTATTTCAATTCGTGCTCAAAAGATGATTGACAGATATGGGTTGAGGTTGGCTAATTACAAATGACTATTTCGGGATTGGATATTTTAATATAAATTCAGAACAGAACCTTGGTTATGCGACAGTGATTTCAACCCACTCGACTATCTGCAAAACCAAAAGCAGGTTTTTAATCAGTCATCTGAACAAAAATGTGTGTTCATATAAACCGTCGCCTGAAATTGGAGAACTCATTCATTTAGCTTCAGGCAAAAGCATGAGTCAGAGTTCCATCATGCAGCCAAGCGTGTGTGTGAGGTGTGGGGAGTCCCTATGGAAAGGATGCAGAGATACCTTGCTCGTGTGAACAATGCCTCTGTCCCTATTTCTTCTCTATTAAAAATCAAGCCGGTCCATTTCAAGGATGGTCCTACGACCCTCTGAACTCAGTTTTTTTTTCCCCATGGGAAGTAGATTCTTAGCATATAACTGACATGACAAGCTAGGAGAAATAAACCATCGTGATCTCGAGCGAAGTAATGACGCCTGATAGACATTTAGTTTTATGTTTGGTGCACGGACACGCACATCCGCACACGTGTTAAACATGGACCACATTTAGCCAGCACCATGTGTGTGTGACTTCGAAAAAGCATGAGAACAAGAGGGGGTGTCTACATTTGTATTATTTACAAGAGGAAACTACTTTTGTTATGAAGCTGCACTATTAGGAGCCTTGTTTGTGGCAAGACACGACCAGGTCTGGATATGAGTGAGAAAAGAATCTTTAAAAAAAAAGAAAATCCACTTTCCACAAGAATATATATTTTAAAAAGTTGGTTTAAATGCTGTATACAAACAGAAATCTATGTGTGAATGCGTCTGAATTTTCCATTTGCCCCCCCCCAGTATGCAACCGAGTAATGTAACAAGAGTTGCAATCCTGTCACTTTAATGCTGTATGTGCACATTAGTTTTGGGTGTGAATGTGAGTGCGGAGGCAACAGGACTTGACAAATGATGCCAACTAATGATTTTCACTCTGCAGTACAGCCGTGCATTCCCCCAGACTGCCTTGTTCGTTCTGACCCGTCCCTTTTAAAGTGGGACCGCGGCGGCCGCCACAGGCCGGCCAATCTGACGTCAAACGAATATCGCCGTTTCCTTTACCTCAATCCCACAGCTCAACCTGTTTTCTTTTTCAGTGCGGTAGGATTTGGTGTATGTCAATGGCATAAACATGTTCATGTTCCATTGTTTGTTCTGTGTGTTTGCGTCACCAGTCAGAGTGTTGGGGGGGGGGGGGATTCAAATTCCAGTGTAACCTGTTCATTTGGAAAAGTCATATATGATGCTATACATGTAGCTGTCACTCTTGGTGCTTGGCTTCTGCTTCATTGTCTTAATATTCCAATAAAACTGTTAAGTGTAAACCACACTGAACTGTCTTTTTTTTTTTAATACTCTCCACTCTTTTGACACCTAATCTGTGAAGTCATCAAGAAATGAACAAGACGCTATTGGATACACATGCACTGTCTGAGATCAATGTACTCTTTCTGCCTTTCAGAAGTCTTCATTAACTTTTGCACTGGTGATGCCAACTTTTTCAGATGCTCCATTAGTTCATAGAATTTTAAAAGAAGACGCCAAAAAAGGGGAAAAAAATACCCTGGCAAAAACTTCAAACACGAGTAAAAAGCAATGAAATAATTGACAGCCAAGTTACTTCAAACTTGACTTACTTGTATTAGTCCAACAGAATACTATAAAGATAATTAGAATGTTTGTGATCACAAAAAAACATTTTTAATCAGTCTATGAGTGGATGGAATTTACAAATGATCTGAACACAAATTCTGAAAGAGTCTATGAATAAACAATTGAACATGAAAGATATTTCAAAAATTTTACACACTATTATTTATATTTTAAAAATAAACAAGAGCATAAGCGCCTCAGTGAATGGGAGAGAGCTGAATGGAAAGCCGTCCTTTTTAACGTAAATGGTGCTCGTTAGGATAGATGGCCGTTAACGTGACAAAGTACACCTCCCGACTTCATTTTTACAGAAACCTAACCTGAACCTGATGTGTGTTCTGCAGTCCGTGTGCAGTCTGACAGACAGACAAAGAATTGGCGCGCCTCCACTGTATGTGCCGGTAGGAGCATTAAAAATGGGTGTCAAACTCTTTTT